TGTGCTTCTGCCAAACCTAGTTCTGCTGCCTTCTTGGTAATTTCGTGAGCAAACCAATATCCTGCAATAAATAATTTCTTTCCTTAAATAGATCAGAGTTTCTGCCTGTGGATTCCAACTGAAAAATTTGACGTAGACATTGGCCCAAGTCCCAGAATATGCTAGATAATACATTTGTGCAGAGACTGGATTTTCATGAGAGATCCAGGCATTGGAGCCTCTAGACAGCCCCTCAGCATGTAACAGCAATGGGAGGCTGGTGGTAGGGTGAAGAAGGGAAGTCTGGGATTGAAAGTAGCAATGGAGACAGATTTGATAGAGGGGGTGAAAGGGGAGTCAGGTGGTGTAGGACTCCCATCCTATCCTAGGTCTTGGCTCCAACCTAGTTCTACCCTCAGCTGCCTCATCTGGGCCAACCCCAACTCCATCACTAGCTCCCTACAGCCCCAGGTTCTGCCAAGTCCCAGCTCAAGGCTCAGGGGATTCAGCTTGGTTCTCCATCCACTCAATTGGTGAGGTCATCCAAATGGACTTGTTCCTATACACCATGAGCCCCACCACCTTCCTGCTTCATTACCCAACTCAACAATGACTCTAGATTACCCATTACTCATCTCCCTTATCCATATACACCGACTTCTGTGTCCTGATAACCTTCTCAGGTTATGTTCTTTCCTCATTCTTCCAGGCCCTGGGTTTGAACATTGAGATCTGTGCTGACTTCTTTTGGCGTGGTCTCTGGGTGAACTGGGGGAAGGAGAAGGTCCTGGGAAGTGACCCAGTGAGAGGCAGCTCTGTTTGATCTTAGAAGCTCTAAGATCAACCAAGTCAAACACTGGAACAAAGGACCTCAAGTATGGCAATGTTTCCTGTGGGTGACGCCATCCAATCTTGCCTGGAAATCCCCATCCCCCCCACTCCTGCCTTTTCTATCCACTTATATAGAGAGAGCTCCCTGGTGGGTGTACCCAGGGATAGCTAAGCTCAGCACAGAGCTTCCCTGAGGTCGCAGGCCCCAGAAGTCCCAAGAGCCTCCTGCAGGGGTTCTCATGGGAAGCTTCAGGGTCATTTTATAGTTGACAAACTATAGACACACTCCCGGATCCCATGTCCCCAAAACAAATCGTGTCCATACCTTCCTTGATCTTCTCTTACGATCTTTCTAAAGACTCCTCTGGTTCAGCATCTGCTTTTGGGGTTTTCTTCACCTAAGCAGTCATTACGAATTGGGTCCATCAGCCACCCACTCTTTCATATGATATTACCACATGCTGTTGGAATATCAGGCACCAAGTTCACTCATTCAACGATTCTTTTGCTGGGTGTGTCTCTCATCCAACAATTTATCACTCACCTTTGTTAAACCATTCAACAATGATCACTTAACAATTTTATCTTTGGATGTGAAAGAGATCCAGAGATTTATAATTTATATAAATAAAATTATAATTTATATAAGGCCCCTCCAGGGCCTCATGGTGTAGGAATGACATAGGAATGAAAACCAGAGGACAAAAATGAGCAATTTCACTGCCGACTAGAAATTTTCTGATGGAGGTTAACAAGGTAGATTAGGAGTGCAGGAGAATTGAAATCTTGGAACAAGTATGTACATCTTYCCGGAGCATTATATCTTTGCTTGAAGACTTAAGGAGAAAATAGTAAATTTATCTAGTCATTTAGAGCATGATTTTTCCTATGAAAACATGCATCAAAGATTATTATAAAGTCAAATGCAAAATACCACATGAATTTTTTAACATAAAACAAGATATTTCAAAGAAATTTCCCCTCATATGATGTATTAAGAACTATGTAATGTTATGAACGACCAATAAAAAAAAATTAAAATAAAAAAAAATTAAAAAAACAAAGAAATTTCCCCCACACAAAAGTCTTGTCACTGAGGTTCTCTTTTGCCTCCAACTGTAGCTAAGTCCTCTCTCTTCTGCATCCAGTGTTCAATACTTGTGAGTGCTACTTCTGTGCAAATTTGTGGGAAGTAGCAGTTAAAAAAAAACATTTAAATTCTTTTATTTGGCCTTCAAGGCCTTTTAGAGAGGACCTCTGCCCAACAGAGGTATCTCCATCCAACATTTTTCTCCTACACACTGTCTGTTCTCTACACAGCAGCTATTTACAGCTCCCCAAACAATAAACAATGTGCCAAGCTACTTCATGCCTTTGTGATTTTCCACAGGCTGCTCCCTTGGCCTGGGATGCCCTTACCCACTCATCCATCTGGCAAACTCCTACTCATCCTTCAATACCCAACTCAAGGGCTCCTCTTCTGTGAGGCCTCCCAGCAGGCCCAAGCTGAGTGAGTCAGTTCCTCCCATGCACCACTCTGCATGTCTATGTCCCTCTCCTGGTGCTGGCATTTCTTTTCTTTATGTGACTGTTTCTCTGATTTGATTTGGCAGCTGTGGGAAGAGAGAATGTATCATATATATGTGTGTGTGTGTGTGTGTGTGTGTGTCTTCCCAGTTTTAAGCACTGTGCCAGGCATGAGAGGTGTCTATAAATATTTGGTGTAAAATAATAAGTAAGACTTTTCTTTTTTACTCTTCCTTTCTTTTTTTTTTATAGAGTCGTAATAAGGAGACCACCATTTTCTCATAAACTTTGGGAAACACTAAACAAAACGCCTCAAAGAAAAAGAACAAAAATTTCTACTTAATCTCTTAATAGATATTCACATTTTATAACTCACATGATTCTATTGAGAACTCACCAGACTAATGGGGTTCCTTGACCAGTGGTGGAAGCAGCCAGGTGGAGAAACGGGCAGGAGTACCAGGAGAGCCTAACCTAGCTCCCCTGAGTCCCAGCAGCAGCACTGGGGACTAACATATATTCAAGGACCATGTCACTTACTTATACATGTACATACAGTGACTCATTTAATCTTCATTGAATTTTATGTGTGTGTGTGTGTGTGAGAGAGAGAGAGAGAGAGAGAGAGAGAGAGAGAGAGAGAGAGAGAGAGACTGAGGACTGAACTCAGGACCTTGCACCTGCTAGGCAAGTGCCCTGCCACTGAGCTAGACCCCCAGCCCTCATTTAATTTTCATAACAACCCTATTAGGTAGCTTCTATTATTATGCCCTTTTTAGAAATGAGAAAACCAGCACGTTGTTGTAGAGCAACATGCTTACAACCAAATAACTGAGAAATGGTAGAACAGTATTCGAACCCAGAACATCTAAGTTAGGGCTCCACTCTTTCAATTTCTGTGCTATATAAATTACCTCCATGAGCAACAGGCAGTAATTTCAGCTAAGAATATAGGAAATGTGAGGTAGAAGGGGAATGTGCCTTTTCATAACAAATCACCCCACTTCCAGGTTCTGGGATGCCCTTCTGAGTTCATAAGCATCATACTTAAGTGCTTAGCTTTCCTCCCAGACTCAGAGGTCCCAGTCTTCTTTCTACTTCACCACAGGAGACGACTGTTTCAATTGGTTTCATTTATCTTACAGTAGAGTCCTCACAAACCTTCTTAGGAAGCAGTGCTTTCTGCTCTCCTGGGTGGCTTGAGGACTTGCAGGCTCCACCACCCTGGTGGCTTTTATAACAGCACTCCCACCAGCTGGGAAAACCGGTGGGGCCACTTTCCCAAGGTGTCTGTGGCAGGACTTTAAACCTTCATAGACTCTTGTACCCCATTCAGAACATTTCAAACAGATGCATGACATATGCCAAAAGCCAGAAGTGAGAAAAGGCTAGGCATGTCGGTGGAGAAGGTAAGTAGCTAAGGGCAGGTGGGAGCAAGTAAGGCTTGAGGAGGGATCTGTAATGGAAAGGTAGCTTAGACAGATACACCTTTGATTATTATGAAGAGTCTTATACATAAAATAGAGGAATTAGCAATGGAGAGTCGTTGAAGGTCATTCTGGTTTTTTAAGGTTTACAGTCTCACAACTTAAGACAGTTGTTTTTCTTTTCCTTACAGGCACTTTCTCAGCAATTAGGAAACACTGCCACCATGTGGTTATCGGTTGATGCAGGCTACAATCTACAAGTTGCTGAATTTTCAATGGTATTGTTTAATAATTAAACCAAAGAACACATCTTTTGATTCAAACAGCTGAAGTAATACAACCCTGACCTGTTAAAAAAGGATGCTTATTGTATAGTTTTTCAAGAAATCAAATAGTTGGGCTCAATTCTCTCATCTCTTTGATTTTAAAATCCTAGGCTGTCTTTCTTTAGAGCTCCTGAAGGCAAAGATCTCTTCTATTCTCAGACTCCCTTATGTTAGAATCATAAATTCTCTGGCCCTGCGAAGGTTCTGCTCTTTCCAGGGTAATTTGCATCAAATTATTTCTCAGGATATTTCTCTCAACCGTGGCAGGTTCTGTTTCACTTCTAGGTCTGTTCTTCTCGTATGGTCCCACAATTTAGACAGATCCAAATTAAAATATTCCTCCTCCCCGCCCCCGTTTTTTTTCTTTTTTAGTTGAGTGATTTGGGACTAATCACCTAACCTCTCTGAGCCTCAGTTACTGCAACAGTAAAACGGGGATGGCAGTTTTTTCATAGGGTTATTGTAAGGATGAAACGATAACATGTAAAAAGTGCACTGCATACCATTGGACCTCATCTTAGGGAGTCCTCTCCTTTCTCTTCCTCCTTGAGGGCATGCCCTTGTTGAGCACAAAGCAGGCACCCACTGGAGGTCAATGTGATATCCTAGATTTACTGGATCCTCAGCAACGTTTGGGTGAACAGAACTACTCGTTTCCTTAGGCTCCGGGGACCATCCCTCTTTTCACATGTGATCAGCTGCCCCTGGTTTTGCGAAGGATTTGCAATCCACGCGTCTCCTCTGTGCGCAGCTGGTGGCAGGTGCGTGGGCGTGAGCGGGGCGGGGCGAGGCGACATCTATTCCTGGCCGCTCCCTACCGGGGGCTGGGGGTTGTGTGTGGATAATTCAATCCCCGTGGGACTCTGCGTCTGGCCTCACCCGCGGCTCGGCGGATTGGCTGACAGTCTCAGCCTGCCCCCGCCCTCGGTACCCCTCCCGCGTCCCAGGTGGCTCAGGCCCCTGTGGTGATCTCTGTTTACGGAGAGGACCTGTCCAAGTTGGGCTCCATCTCTGCAGTCGCTCCATTCCGGGGCCCCGCCCGCCCGGGAAGCGGGGAGAAAACCCGGTCGAGCTTCCCCTCCCCCCACAGCCTAGAGAGGTCGGGTAAGGCGAAAGGGTGTGTGTGGGAGGGAGCGCCCGCGGCTTGGGGGATCCAGCTGTTCCCCAACCCGGTTCCCTTCGAGCACCCAGGAGTTCTGTCCCTAGGCCTGTTTCCCTCACCCACGCTCTGGGTGACGTGCCCACCCTGGGAGAGCAGCCGGAGAACGGATCTCAGGAATGCTAGCTCCTAAGAGGACGCTCAGGAGCGGAGACCTCGCTCACAGTTGTTTCCCCACCCCTACAGACGGTGATGACCCCCGAGCCGCCYGGACCCCCGGACGGGGGCTGGGGCTGGGTGGTGGCGTTTTCGGCCTTCGCGGTGAATGGGCTCTCCTACGGGCTCTTACGCTCCCTGGGCCTTGCTCTCCCTGACCTCGCCGAGCATTTTGACCGAAGCGCCCAGGACACTGCGTGGGTCAGCGCCCTGGCCTTGGCCATGCAGCAAGCAGCCAGTGAGGGAGGGCCCAAGGTGGGGGGTGGGAAGAGGGTATAGGAACTGTGAGTATAGTGATGGGAGATCCAATTAATTACTAGACAACTTGAGAATGAGCGACTGATTATGGAAACCAAGTTCTAGAAGAGTGGGACTTGAGGTCAAGGGGAGGAGCTATTAGACCCAGGGAGGAGTTTGAGGCCAAGCAAATAGCCAATGAGAAGTGTTGGAGAGAGTTTGGGGGTCCAGGAGCGTGTCTTCCGTTGATTTCGACCCCTTTTAGGCCCAGTGGGCAGCGCTCTGAGCACACGTTGGGGGGCGCGCCCGGTGGTGATGGTTGGGGGAGTCCTTACTTCGCTGGGTTTCGTCTTATCGGCTTTCGCCCGAAGTCTGCTGCACCTCTACCTCGGCCTGGGCCTCCTCGCTGGTGAGGGGAGTGGCATGACCCGGGGTGATGATCAGGGGTGATGGTGGGGATAGGACTTTCTTGGGAATTGGGATAACGAATGAGGTGGGGGGGGGGGGGCTTCTGCAAGAAGCACGGCTGGGAATGCTGGGGCAGGCATCCCTGGAACCTGCCTTAATCTCACTTTATCTATTCGCAGGCGCTGGCTGGGCTCTGGTGTTTGCCCCTGCCCTCGGTACCCTCTCCCGTTACTTCTCTCGCCGTCGGGTCTTGGCTGTGGGACTAGCACTCACTGGCAACGGGGTTTCCTCCCTGTTTCTGGCGCCTGCCTTGCAGCTCCTCCTTGACACATTCGGCTGGAGGGGCGCTCTGCTCCTCCTTGGCGCTGTCACATTCCACCTCACCCCTTGTGGCGCCCTGCTGCGACCCCTGTCCCTCCCTGGCGACCCCAAGGCTCCACCCCTCAACCCTCTAGCTGCCCTCGGCTTGGGTCTCTTCAAGCATCGGGCCTTCTCAGTTTTTGCTCTGGGTACAGCTCTGATTGGGGGTGGGTACTTCGTCCCCTACGTGCACTTGGCCCCACACGCTTTAGACCGAGGCCTGGGGGGATACGGGGCAGCTCTGGTGGTGTCCGTGGCTGCAATGGGGGATTCGGGTGCCCGACTGGTCTGTGGGTGTCTGGCGGACCAGGGCTGGGTGCCCCTTCCGCGGCTGCTGGCACTGTTTGGAGCTCTGACAGGGCTGGGGCTGCTGGCAGTGGGACTGGTGCCGGCGGTGGGGAGCGAAGACGACTGGGGGGGCCCCCTGCTGGCTGCAGCTGGGACCTACGGACTTAGCGCTGGAAGTTATGCCCCCCTAGTTTTTGGTGTGCTCCCGGGGCTGGTGGGCATCGGAGGTGTGGTGCAGGCCACTGGGCTGGTGATGATGCTGATGAGCCTCGGGGGACTCCTGGGCCCTCCCCTGTCAGGTAAGGGCCTGAACCAGCAGATCCACTCCCAACCGTCCTCTGCCCTTGGGATGCAAGACCTCTAAATTCCTTTACCCCTGTTCTCAGGCTTCCTAAGGGATGAGACAGGAAACTTCACCGCTTCTTTCCTCGTCTGTGGCTCTTTCATCCTCTTCGGCAGCTTCATCTACTTGGGGCTACCTAGGGCCCTCCCCTCCTGTCGTCCAACCTCACCTCCAGCTACCCCTCCCCCTGAGAGAGGGGAGCTGCTTCCGATGCCCCAGGTTGCCTTGCCACCCCCAGGAGGACCTCCCTCCACTCTGGACACCGATTGTTGATCATTTTCTTGTTTAAACCCCTCCCCCAATAAATAATTTTTATYTGATTTTTCTGAAAGCTCCAACTGTTGGCCATCCTAGAAGCCTGAAAATATTCTACTTTAAGATATCCCAAAAGGCTTTTGGAAAAAACAGGACCCCAGTTGGGGGTGGGGAAGGGTGTTTAGCTATCCAGTCAGTCCATTCCTCTTTGCCCAAATCCTTGCCATAACAGGGAGTCTTTGAGAAGTTGTCTGCAGTTCAGTTTGGGTGGGCTGGGGTGGGGGAAAAGATGCTTATGGATGCCACCTGCTCCATTTTTATTTACCTTGAATATCCAGACCTGGTGGAACAGTTCCAGCATTTCAATCTCCTTTTATTTTCCTGGGAAATATGAGAATCCTAGGTCCAAACTTCATCTCTATCAGCCTTTCTTCCCCCTCCTAAACAAGCTACCCTCCCACACACATACACTCTGTGATTTCACCATTCCCTTAATTTCTAAGCCCCAGGTGGGGAAGAGGTAGGTAAGTGGACAGGAGGGAGGAACTCAGGATCATCACAGCTCCTGGACACCTCCCCTCCCCTGCCCTGATTTCATAAGCCAACCCACACATGGGCCCTGGTTCTTTTTGCGGTTAYAATTATTGTACGGTTTCCTTATTCAGTTTTATCTCAAACAGACACCTTTGCTTCTCAAACATCTGTCTTCAGAGAGGACACTTAGGAGGACACTAGAGTTCACATGTAAAACATGAGAAGTCTCTTGGCCTTTGATTTTCAGTTGATTCACAGCTTAATGGAGTAGGATCTCTGGATCCTTCAGAAAAGGTTGGGAGAGCAAATGAGAAGAAATGTAAGTCCTCAGCAAAATACCAAGGGTTGGCACACACATCGGAGGAGTCCCAGGCCTGCTCTGGGGCGAGAAAGGGATCAAGAATCTTAAGGCACTGTGGTTCTGTGGATGCCTCCTTTGGGCAGGAGAAAATCTGGAGCTGTCAAGATCTGGCTTTTGGGGACTATCTCTTAGTGGAATTCAGTCCTCTCCCAGCCCCTCCTTCGTGGGCAGGGGGACTTTGGTATCCACTGCCTCTATTACAAGGTCCTGAGGCCTGGTAGTAGGAGCTGAAAAGCAGGAGAAGAAGTGGGGCAGAGTGATGAGAACTGCACTCCCTGCAAGAAGGAAGGTCCCAGCCACCACAAAAGAAGCTGTGTAGTTGCCTGTCACATCTCGGAGGTAGCCTAGATCCAAGAGAGAAAAAGAATACACATGAGTGATCTGTTCGCTGGGGCTGACAGCTCATTCCCCCTTTATTAAAAAAAAAAAAAAATTAATTAATATTTATTTTTTAGTTTTTCGGTGGACACAACATCTTTGTTTGTATGTGATGCTGAGGATTGAACCCGGGCCGCACACATGCCAGGCGAGTGCGCTACCGCTTGAGCCACATCCCCAGCCCTCAGACCCCTTTTTTGGGTGAAGGAAAGGTGCATAATATTACAGAAATCAAAACTCCCAAGGTAGACCAGATGAATGTGAGAATTCTATTTTCCCTAAGGGCCTCAAAGGTAATTTGAACCGCCTGTGTGCCTTTAGAAAGAATCTCCAAACCAGCCCATGAAGATTTGATAAGCCAGATTATGTCAGGCATACCTGTAGGTTTCTTTCTGGCAATTGTAGCCGTTCCACATCTTCAGTTAATAGTTAAGAGGGAATGTTAAAGTCATAAGGTTCCTGAATCTTGAGCCTGGAGTACTTTGACCAGAGTACTCAGACACATGGCCTGGGGCCCAGTAAGACAAAGGAAAATGGAAGACACTGGAATGTTATATAGGTCCAGATCTGGCCATATCCTCTGAAAACCCAGGCTGTTAGCTCCATACCAAGATTTCCACTTAACTCCTCTTTGTCTTTCCAGTTAGAACTTCCCAGCCCCAATTTCTCTACCCTATGGACCCATATCAAGTCTGCTATGATTGGTCATGCAGGCTGTGAACTGTACCATACCAGAGGACAATATTCACATACACATGATGGGAATAGTTCCTTCCCCCGACTGTGCAACATGGCAGCCCTTGCCCACCTGGCAACCCCATTCCCCTTACCTGACAGAGGAGCCCCCAGTAGCCCCCCGATGCTCTCTACCATCTGCACCAGTCCTAGGCCACAGTAAATCCTTCCAGTCCCCACCAGTTCAGGCAGCACGGAGAAGGCCACTGGGGTCAGGGCTCCTGATGTGAAGCCATAGGCCACGGCCAGAACCACTAGGGCTGTGGGAGCCTGAGCCACAGGGAACAGGGTCAGTGATACCCCAGTCAGGGTGGTCCAAAGCATCAGAAGCCGTGCCACAGGCCCTGGGACTGCATCTCCCAGCCACCCAGAGGCCACACGCCCTACAAGGTCAGAAATAGCAGCCACAGAGAGTAGAAAGGCAGCAGATAGTGGGTCCCAATCCAGGTCTTGGAGATGGGCCACCAGGTGGACATAGGGTATGAAGTAGCCAGTGTTGATCAGGGTGAGGGCAACAGTGTAACGGAGGAAGGGGCCATGATGGAGGAGGGAGGTGAGTTGGGCTGCAGGGCCACCCATAACTGTGTCCTCAGTCAGGGATAGTGGGCGGAGGAGAGCACCACATGCCACCAGGTGGAGGGAGAGGGCAGATACCAGCAGTAGAGCCCCCCGCCAGGCATAGTAGTTGAGTAGCCACTGGAAGAGGGGGGCAAATGCAAAAGAGGAGAGGCCCACTCCTGTCAGTGCCAGCCCTGTGGCCAGGGATCGACGACGAGAGAAGTAACGGGACAGGCAGGCCAGGGTCGGAGTGAAGGTCAAGGCCCAGCCAGAGCCTGTCAAAAAGGAAGAAATGGGGGTTGAGAACTTTTGTGGAGCTCAGGAAACCCAGTAATCCCAACAGTGCTCAGCAGCAGAATATAGCCTTTGTTCTGGGGTCCCACAGACCTGGATGTAGTCCTAGTTTTGACAGTTTCTAGCTGTGTGACCCCATGTGTTTTACTTACTCTCCCAGCCTCAATTTCCTCATCTGCAAAATGGGGTTGCTACACTTTATGGGACTGGGGGAGGACTAGAGATAATGTTTGTAAAATAAGTAGCACAGAACTTTGGAGTTAGACCCCTGCTCTACCATTTCTGGCCATGTAATGTTACTTTGCCAAGTTGCGTAAGCTTTGAAAGTCTTTCTTTGTACATAGGCTAATGATATTCATTTCAGACACAGTGCCCAGAACAATTTTACAGAAATCCTCCAGTCCCTCTAGCCTTGGGCTTGCACATACATTCTTGGATTCATTATCTTTGACTTTCCAATTTCCCCACCATGTTAACCAACTTAGTCATTCTCTTAAGAATTCCCTTCAGGGCACAAGTGCTACTCAAACTTTCCCTCAACATTCTCCCTAAACTTTTTGAAAGGAGCAGGAAAAAGGTGAAAATCCAGTGGCCAAAGACCCAAGTATATGACTCTCCTGTCCTTGCCCAGGGTCTCACCTGAGAGCAGTCCAATACTCAGGTATAGGTGGGTCAAGGAGGTAGCAAATGAAGCGAGCAGCATACCCAGCGAGGCCAAGATGCCCCCAGTCATCACCACAGGCCTGGGCCCGAACTTCGTGCTCAGGGCACTGCCTATGGGGCCTGGGGAAGGGGAAAGGGTTCTGTGAGGACTCAGGCGTCCTTCCCTAGCATCCTCCACACCCCTTCTTCTTCCCCTTTCGGTTCCTGTAACCCCTTTCTCTTTCGAGGGTGAGGGTCACAGGACACCGGACCGGGCTCAGCACTCACTCCCAAACTGCTGCACCGCGATTCCAATGGAGGCGATCCAGGAGACGCGCGCTGCCTGCTCCTCAAACGCCGCCACAAACTCCACGAAGAAGACTCCGAAAGAGCGAAGCACCCCGAACACCAGTGCCGACTGGAAGAAGGCTGAGAGCACCACCATCCATCCCCAGCCCCCATCGGGGGGCTCGGCCCCACGAGCCATCTGGGTAGGAACAGGGCTGCCGCCACTAAGAGCCAGCCCCTGCAGGAGCCGGGCTCTAGACTTCCACCAGTGTATGCCCACCCTGCTGGGAGGCTCGGAACCAAACGCGGGGTGGGGTGCAAAATCGGGTAAAGAGAAAGGTACAGATCAGGCGGCGTGAGGCGCCTGCGCCTTTTCCCAAGGGGTACGGTCTTAGTGAGGCGGGGGAGGGGGGAGACCAGGCCCGTGCTAGCCTCGGTCACAAGCGCACGGAGGCGCAGCCCGGCTGGCCTGCAGCTGAGGGTCCAGGAAAGGGCCAATTCGTTAGTGGCGGGCCCCCAAACGTTCGATTAGGGACCAGGAGGTGGAAATGGAGACGCGCACCGGCCTGGGTATGAATTATCTTTGGGGATGTCTACACCTGGTCAAGCGGGCCAACATCCAATCCCTAGCTAGCCAACGAGGACGCAGGACTCCAGAGCAGGGGGTGGGGCCAGAAGGCTTGGGCGGGACTTAGAGCATTGTTCCGGACGGGCAGTGAGTGGGGCGCATGCGTAAGGAGGGTCCTGAAGCGACTGACTGGATACAGCCACACGTGATGCAGGGACCTACCGCGGGGATGCAGCGGTCCCCTGCTCATGGTGTGGGCCGAGTCATCCGCATTTCAGCACCAAAACCCGCACGTAAGGACTGGTGGTGGGCAAACTGGTTCTGGAGAGGCAAGCACTCACTTGTTTTTGAGGAATGCCAGACCCACGTGGGGTTCCAGAGGACAGGTTATAAAATTCAAAATAACTCGAAGGAGTGCCACCGTTAACGCAGCTCCCCAAATCGAGATGGCTGGATTTATGAGAGGTTCAAGGGCCAACGGAAAAGAGACGGGGAATGGGTTGTTGGACTCCTGGCATTCATTTCTGTGATGATAACACTTTTCTGTTCCCACTAACAGGAAACCTTGGGTCACAGAGACCAAAAATAACTGAAGAGAGGAAGGGCGGCTGTAAAGTCACATAGGGCTCCACCAACACCACCTACCCCTTCCTCAGCGGGGCTGGAACCTTTTCTTCTGCCCTCTAGTAACAGCTATGTCCTAACCATATTTTTTGAACTCAAGGTGGGATAAAGAGAAGTTATGACCCCGGCAACTGGAGCAATCAGCTTTTCTTACCCCACCAGTACTCAGGCCCCCTGTGAGCACCCCCTAGTCCTCCCCAGACTCCACAGCATTAACGTCTTGGACTTCAGTTCCTTCCTCAAGCTCTGGAGGACCCCCGACCTGGGTTCCCTGGGCTCAAAGAGTTCATACCCAGCAGGATATGGTGGCACAGGCCTGTAATCTCAGCCATTCTGGAGGCTGAAGCAGGAGGATTAGGAGATCCAAGCCAGCTTCAGCAATTTAGCCCTAAGCAGTACAACTGAATTAAACCCCCAGTACAAACAAACAAACAAACAACAACAACAAAAATCCCACCTAGACTAGTGGGGAAAAGAAACAAACAGGCAAAGAAGAAGAGGGGAATGAGGTGGGGAGACTGTGTAGCTTTTGATTTCACATATGGAAAATAATCATACCAGAATTCTTACCTCTGTGTGTGTGTGTGTATGAATATGTATTCAAACTATTGATGGGGAATATGCTAGTTGGTGTGGTCATATATAAGTGGTTAAGAACTCAGTCTTTAGAATCAAACTGGTTCCAATCTTGACTTTATCATTTATTAACTTGGTCAAGATATTGGTTTTCCCATCTGTAAGTTAGGCTATTTTTTAATGGTTGTCAGGGGGGTTAAATTAGAAAATTCATGCACTAAAATGCTTAGTTTAGGGCACACCATGTAGCAGGTGAAAGTAATATTAGCTGGTCTTCTTTTCAATAGGGCATAGAGGGAAGTGAAGCTGCAGAGGGAAGTGAAGGAAGGATTTAGTTTTTTTTTTTTTTTTTTTTTTCCAGGTCTGGGTATTAAAAGATTAAGAAACACAACCACATCCTGTAAATGTTGGAGGCAAATCAGGGGCCATGTTATCTGACTTTTATCACAGATAAGGACTTTTAAGACAGAAGGCAGGGATAATATCAGAATTTGTGACCATTCTGCCTGAGGGCCAGACCAGAGCTATGCACCCAGGACACACACAGAACGGGAAAAAGTAGGAGAGGCACATGCTCGGGACACTGGATAGACTTCCAAGATACCACTGCTGGGAGACAAAGGTGGAGTTGGCATGCTGGCTCTTAACTACACAGCCTTCTCACTGCCACCTCCTGTTGTCCTTGGGATCCAAGTCCCAACCATTTTCCTTAGTGGTGGTGGGGTGTCCCAAGCATTAATATCCCCAGCACAAATGCACCCCTCAACCTATTGGTATTACTAGTGGCTTCCTAGTTTCTCCCTGCTGCCTCTGCACCTCAGGCAGGAAGTGACTTCAGACCAGCAGGATGCAGGTGGCTCCGGAGAAACTTCATGAAGTCACTGGTTCCTACACAATGAGCCGGAAGGCAAGGGCAGAACAAGGACCATTTAAGATGTGTGGTGGGATGAAACAGTGAAATGAGCACAGAATCCAAATATTATTTAAGAGGGAAGAAATCTCTTTCCAATCCCCAGGTCCCCTGAGGCAAGAACCCAGAACACAACAGATAGACTCAGAGGCTTCTTTATTCCAAGGATCAGATCTTGAAAGAGCTAATATCTCCACCCCCAGGCACTTTCAACCTGCTCATCCCATCTGCTAAAACAGAGATTATGGTTTCTTTTTACATGTCTCCTCTTGCTTTCCCTCTTCTTCAATTCTTCAATGAGGTGATGGGGTTTAAGATAGACTTAGGGAGAATAGCTTTCTCACTAGTCCCCAAGTGACAGCAACTAGTATTGATCTATCTTGAGGAAGTTCCACCCCCCCAATTCAGAAGTGCTTTTTACCCTCCATCCATGTCCTATAATCAAATAGGTCCCAGGGTTACAAGGGCCAAGACTATAAATCAGGGATTCAGAGTATTATTCAACATTCCAGACAGTTTCTAAGAGGCTACCCCATCCATAACTTTTCCCCTACTTGGTCAACACTGGAAACTTCAGCACTTAATCAACCTCTTAATCCTACCTGGCAACTTGGTCAACTAGAAGGGGCTTGAACTCATCAGTCAACCAGTTTTACTCTCAAATCTCCAATCCCAACAACAATTGCAATCATAATTCCAAACTACAATAAACCCAGAATGGAACTCAGCCTCTTTCCTCTTCCTGTGGAAGGTTCTAATGCACTCACTGGTTCCAGACAGGAATGCAGTGATGGGAAGACAAGATCACAGATCCAGCTTTTCTAAGGTAAGAAAGTTACCAAACACCTGTGACTTAAAGAGACAAAGACGTTTCTGGAATCTGGACACTTGCCAGAAGATGTCCAAAACCCATTAAAGAAAGAAGGGGTTCATCTCAGTATAGAGAACCCCAAGGAACATTCAAACCTAGATACCTCTACAGTAATGGGTGGGTCACAACTCTATAGTCAAGGTAAAGTTTCATATTTCTCCCCTAGGTCACAATATTCTTAGAGACTGGTAGAATCAGAAAAGGTCATATGATCTCTGACAAGAAATTTCAGATCTTTCTCCCATGGAGGAGGGATCAACTCAGTGCTAAGAACTGGCCGTAGTGAGAGAATTATGAATTCAATTCAAAGCCTTGGGTGGGCTCTGTTGTGACAGATGAATGCAGGGCAGCCAAACCCAGGTGATTGGATTGGTGAGACAGTGTAGGTTCTGAACCATCTTGAAGTAAAGACTACTGGCCTCTACTTAAAGTGATTTAGGATCCAATCTCCCACCCCGCAACTTTCAGGAAGCATTTGTTACCTCCGTTTTAGGCTCATCATAAAGGTTCCTATCACCCATGAAAAGAAAGAAAAGACTATATCTAATTCTAGCCTGCTAGAGCATCTCAGAGTCCAGAATACCAGAGAGGGTTCCAGACCCAATTCCATAATCCCACATGTTCCTAGGGCTTGCCCTAGAATGAATAAAGGTTCCAGACCTAGAATTGGAGGAGCAGGGAATGGAGTCTCCCTTTCTCCATTTTAAACAAACCAACATCAAACAAACAGGAAAAAGAACAATTGTAAAGATAAAAGCTATGACAATAACAATATAAAAACACTCAAGCCAAAGGAGAGAGCCAAGTGCTAATAATCTCTGCCAGCAGAGCTGTGACTTCACATTCTATGTTTCTGGTCACTTTTGATCACACTTGTGGCATAGGGAAGTGGGAAATGCAACAGAATGAAGGCCCTGGTGCTACCCAAAGGCTGCAATAAATTATATTTACAGATAAACCAAATGAGGTGGGGACTGCAGGTGGGGGCTCTTCCCTTAAGGAAACCAGGCCTCCAATGTCTCCCTGACCCCAGCCTCTAGTTCGACAATCTGGATTGTGGGGAAGAGGTTTTGACCAGCAAAACAGAGGCAGATCTAGCCTGGATCTGCCACTCCTGCTCTCCCCAGCAAGAAATTAAGGTGGCAGCAGTTTCTGATACCAGAGTGGTCTTGCACACCCCCATACCAAGACGAACAGGGAAGCCAGGTCCAAGCTTGGGGACTTCCTGGGCCCTGGGGAGCGAGTGGGGTCTGGGGCACTCAGCTAAGGCCCCCCCAGGATGTGGTAGTGTACTTTGGTGTTCGTAGCAGCCCCGTGTTTCTGGCGCAGATGCAACCGCAGCTGACTCTTGTGCCGGAAATGCAGGCCGCACGGGTCGCACTGTGGGAGGACAACTGAGTCAGGTCTCACCCATTCCAAAACCATCTTTTAGGTGTTGGGCAAAGGGAAACGGTCCAGCTCTCTATAGAAAATTAGCGCTTTGGCCTTCACATCCTCCCAAATCCTCAGGGGATCCCGGGAGATAGACCCTGATTTATTTTAGCAAAGGTTTTCCCACCCGTTAATCCCTCTCTGGAAAATGAAGAAGCGCAATCCCTACTTCGGCCTCCGCCTCTTATTCACTAGGACTCTTAGTTTCCAAGAGATCTAAGGGTAGAAAGGTCCCTCCTCTCAGAGCTCCGCCCCTAGGTGAACGGAAGGTAATTCTAAGGGTTGGCCATGCTGGATACCCACATGGTAAGGCTTCTCTCCAGTGTGGATGCGGACGTGACTCTTGAGGGTCTGTAGGTGGCGGAAGCGAGTTCCGCAGGTGGGACAAGGATAGGGCTTCTCTCCGGTGTGGATCAGCACGTGGGCGCGCAGGTGCGCCACCTGGGAGGGGAGGAGACTTCAGATCACCTTTGGGAGGGGCAGAATTCTCTCCACCCCGCCCTCTAACCTTTGAACCCTCTCTGCAGGGGTTGGCTYCGTACCTGTACAAAGCGCGAACCGCAAGTCTCACACTTGTAAGGTTTCTCTCCCGAATGGATGCGGCTGTGCGTTTTCAGGTTAGCTGGTCGGTTAAAACGGGCTCCACAGATGGAGCAATGATAGGGCTTCTCCCCTATAAACAGGGAGGAAGAGAAGTCAGGGACATTGCCTTAAAAACAGTGGTGGGCACGAAAGCCAAATCCCTTTCCTCTCCTACCTGTGTGCACAGTACGGTGACTGGCCAAGTTGCCTTTGTAGCGGAAGGCAGACCGGCAGAGCTGACACTTATAGGGTTTGTCCTCGTCCCTGGGAGCCAAGGGGTCCAGCCCCGAAGAGCATCCAGCCACAGCCTCACAGTTCTGGCAGCCGAAAAACTCACTTCCTGGGAAAGGTGAGTGAGGGTAGTGAGCAATGACAACCATAGTTACTAATTGAGGGCTTCTTGGGTAGGAGTGAATCCTCAAACCCAACAACAGTAAGTAGGTAAGGTGTTCTTTTCTTCCAATTCACTGTGAAGGATTCTGGGACACATTTGACAAAGGCCATAAAATCTTACTCTACATTTGATTCCAGAGCACTCTGCTAATTTCTTCAATAGTGGTGACAGTAGGTGGAAGCCCCTACTAGTAGGCAGAGGTTTTGGTTTCATCTATATTGCACCAGTCTGGATGACAGTCCACCAGCAAGACACTGTCAAAGTCTGGACAGACTACTCAACCCTAAATAGGGATAGGCCCGAAATTCCCAAACTTTGCTACTCATTGGAAGCACTTGGGGAGCTTTAAAAATTACTGATTTCCCCCGCTAAAAAAAGTTCTATGATGATGTAAAAAAAAAAAAATTACTGATCCCCACTTCTAGACTTTCTGATTTCTGGGTGTGACCTGGGAGTTTTAAAACTTTCCCACGTAATTTTAATTTGCAATAAAGTTTAGGGGGCTGGGGATATGGCTCAGCACCACATACAAACAAAGATGTTGTGCCTGCCGAAAACTAAAAAATAAATATTAAAAAAAATTCTCTCTCACTCTCTCTCTCTCTCTGTCTCCCACTCTCTCTTAAAAAAAAAATAATAAAGTTTAGGAACCACCAGAATAGATGTCTCCTGAGTCCTTTTAACCCAGACTGGCCTGGTATAGTCATAGAAGAAAAACTGGAAAAGAGGAGCTCTTACCTGGTGGTGGACAGGGCCGCTCAGAGGGTGATCCAGTAGTCTCTTGAACCCGGGATGTGAAGAGATAGGGGGCACTGACTGGAATTCCACATTTGAACTGCCTAGCGGCAGTAGTTGGAGAAAGCCTGAGCAGATAGGCCCATAGAAGAGGTTAGGAGAGATTATACATAGAGACATTCTCTCCAAGAGAACTTGGAGTCAAAGGCCTATCCTCTGATGGTGAGCTAATATTAATCAATGAGCCACATTCATGGCCCTGTCAAAGTCCCTCCCCACTGAGTTACCCTGATCTCTAGTCAATTCCCAAAGGTGGACTAGTATCTTTGAAAGGGACCTCCCATCTCCCTGCCTACTGATAACACAGGCTGGCCTCTACAAAGTCTTGGAATTCTAGATCGCGTACCTGTTATGGGAACCAGGGATGGGTCCTTCTTCACTGCTGCTGTTGTTGGAGGCCTCATCTCCGCTGGGGAGTCTCGCTTGGGGGCAAGGTTGACCAGAACTACTCTCCCCAATCAGGCTCCCTGCTTGGGAAGCCTGAGAGTTTAGCACGATGAACTTGTACTTTTTCCAGTTGCAGGCCTTGGGGTCTGGGCTGACTGGACTTGGGGGGCCTTGATTGCAGCTTCGAGATTCAGTAGGTGGGTCTGGGTGCCCTTCAGAGCACCTGGGACTGCCTGGTGGAGGGGCTGTTGTGAGTGTGGGGGGTTCTGCCTCCAGGGGTCGCAGGGAGATGCCTAGAGGTTCACAACTGGAAAAAAAAAAAACGTGATGGACATTAGTTCTATTTCCTAATTTTGCCTTTGCCATTGATACCTGGGGCGCCACCTCACCCAGGAAGGACACAGAATCATGATTCCCTTACCTAGCCTGGATGAAGCGGTGGCATGCCTGAACTACATGTTCCATCTGCAAGTAGGTGGCAGCCGCAAGGACAGCGGGTGCAGTGGTGGGAGAGAGGCGCAGGCGCGAAGTGTACATGAAGTCCAGAAGAGGAGCGAAGCCTCTAGCTTCGGGGCCCCCGGGCAGGGAGAGTACGTCCACCCCTACTCCTGCTCGGCCCCGGAAAATTGAATAGAAGAAGCCACTGGAGAGAGGACAGATAGGTCATGTTAGACCAAGGGACACACGCGCTGCTTTAGAAAACCCCTTCCTTTAGAAATCCCGCTTCCCCACTATTATACCCTGTTTAGTTCTGGGACTCGCCCCTCTTTTTCCAGCAAGGTTTGGGTTTGAATTTCCACTCTATGGCCTATGGCTCCACCCCTTTCCCCATTTGGTCCCCACTAGCCCCAACCCTCGAACCTGCAGGCGATAAGAACCGCCTTGTGTGCTSGAAGGGGTTGCCCGCCAACCAGCAGCGTGACGTCAGTGAGGATCCCGCGCAGGCGCAGCTCGTTCAAATTGCCCAGCACGTCGGAGGAGTGGCGGGTGAATTCGCGGACGTAGCCGAGCGCTCCGTCTGGGGCAGTGGTGGAACCCATAGCGACGCAGGCCTGTGGATGCGGTGGAAAGAGCTCAGGGATTCTGCAGTCTTAAGACACCTTCCCTTCTCTGCTTGTCTTTTCTCCCAAGGTGCTGCTAGAGCCAGGTTCACCATCTCCGGGCCCCAGCACACGAAGCCTCACTTAATTCGTCTCGTTAATTCTGTCCTCAACCACATCGTCGCTGACTTCCAGAGAGCTAGATCCCAGAGCGCTTGGAACGAGTTGAAGTTTCCCCACCGCTGCGTCGATGGAGAGCGTGCGAAATATCGCGCACAGAGCCTTTGGTTGGATTCCTTGTGTCCCTCCACAACCTACCTCTCTTTGCTTCTTGGCGCGCCTAGATCTTAAGTGCTTGACCCGGCCTGGGGACTCCAGAAAAGCTGCCCTCCAAATCCCAGTTGAAACTCCCTCCTACGAACCGCAGATTTCTGCTACTCCTATACAGTCCCCATCCTAGTAAAGTGCAATTTCTGGGACTCAGGCTCCCTACTATCAATAAGCCCCAACCCTCTTTGGCGTCCCAGGATTCCGGCTCCCTCAGTGTCTCCTTCTTACCCCCGTCCCGCAGGGGCTGCGGCTTCTCTTCTCAAGGGGGGGGGGGGCGGGGTCTCTCTCGGCCTCGGCTCCTTTATCCCTCCGGGATGTCGGGGGCGGGGGTGGAGGTGGGGTGAACGCCTGGGTCTGTATCCTTCCTTCCTCCCTGGCTCTCCAGATGGGGAACCTGGGGCGGGGTCTCCGTCTCTAAGGCGGGACCTCAGAAACACCAGGTGATCCTAACGTGGGGATTTGGGGGGGCCTCTAATAGTAAGAATTGAGGATGTGGGTGTTGGAACTGGGGAGATTAGGGATGTCCAGGATGGGAAATAATAGAGGCTCTGGGTAATCGGAGGACCGGGACAGCGAAAATTGGTGTATTGGCTTTTGGAAGAAGGTGTCACATCACGACTCCCCCTTCCGATGTACTATGTTAAGGGTGAAAAGGGGGACACCAGGTTTGGGGGAGGCCCTAGTGGTCTTCCGTGGGGTCTCAGATAGTGGAAGGGTGTGGTGTGAATGACAGGCTCCTTTGGCAGGGCCCACAAAAAGGGGGGCTCTGACCGGGCCGGGTAGGGAGAGGGCGGATATGATTTCTAGTTCGTTTCCTTCCATTGTCCTGAGACCGGACGGCTCCGCCAGCTGCTTCCCCTCGAGGAGGTGGGGAAAGCCCCGGGTGGGGGCCGAGAGACGCTCAGGAGACCTAGGCGTCCGGCGTCCCGCCCCAACTCTCTTCTGAGTCCTTTTAGGGATTCAGAGAGACCGACTCCCGCCCAAAGCCCGCTCGCTTGCTGTCCCCTAGTCCCAGCTCAATAGGTCCTCGAGCACCCGCCGGTCGGCTACGCTTTGAGGCTGGCGGGACGCCGGGGTCCAGCGCGGCAAGTAGGCGAAGATCGGCAATGTCTGACTCTTTCCACGAGGGGGCGGACGAGCACTAGCCTCGCCTCGCCCCGTGGTTTCCACCCGGCTGGGGTTGTGCACAGACTAGGGGGCTGGATGGATTTGGTCTTGGCGGCTGAAACTTTGGGCTTCCTCCCCTTTGCGATGGTTTATTTTGCACTTCTGCCTCTTAGAGGAGTTCTAGAAAAAGAGAGGTAGAGTTAGGGACCCGGGGACTTACCGTCAGGCTGGGTTTCCTATGGAAGTGGGAAATCCAGGACTTTGGGAATGAGGGGAGTGGGTGAGACCAGGAGTGGGGCTTGAGCCTGGGGGCACAATGTTTCTTTTTCTAATCAAGATATTCAAGATATCTAATCAAGATATTTTTCTAATCAAGATATTATTTTTAGTAAACACTAATATGAAAATTGGGTAGGGTAAACCGAAAGACAAACAGAGAAGAGTGAAAGAGAGAAGGAGGGCCTGACAATTCTAATTTTAAAACTGCTGATCTGGGAGATCATACCCTCATATTTTGTTTGGGGAGACTTTGCGGGGGGGGGGGGGGCAAGGCTTATTTGGAGAAGAGGGACCAGACCAGCTGCAAAAGAGGACCTCTTTGGATTTGGTCTCAGAAGGGTGTACAGTTGACCAGGAATTATTAAGTATTTACCATGGAGCTGCATATCCAGGCCTAGAGCTCTCTGGTCAGATTTGAAGTTGTCTTTACTTGAGTGCATGAAAGAACAGCTAAGTGGGAATTGGGGATAACTAAGGACACAGAATGGTGAGGTGGCTTTGGCATATGAAGGTTACTTTGGTCTCTGTCCAGTCTGGTGGTGAGAATTAGGCTAGGGGCTCCCTTTGGTATCAGGATAGAATGTTATCTGGTCAGTTATGGGGTGCCATTTGTTAGTGGGTGTTGATTTGATTGTTACAGGCAATGGGGCTGTAACACTTTGGGTACATTTGGGTGAAGCTGGGGGATAGATCATTTGGTTGAGGGTCTATGGTATGTTTGAGGCATGAGGATTCTGACACCTACAATTTGGAGTCCGTATCCATCTCTGTCATCTTGGATTATCAGAAAAGCCAGAATGCTCATGCTGATTTTGGGGTACAGTCTTTTGGGGTATAAGTGTCAAGACTCAGATTAAATTGTTGAGGACATGAAATTCAGTTTGGAGATTTTTGTTTTTAAATTACTTTGAGGAGGCACATAATAGGAAACGGAGAGCAAGTTTGAAGGCTTTGTGTGGTTGGGTGGGGGTCTTGGGGGGTATAAAGTTGTATATTTGAATCATGTGAAAACTTATTTTGAGGGGGAGGTATTCTTGTGTATGCATGGATAACTAGGAAACTTTGTCCAGGGGGAGCTATAAGGTGAGGTCCCTCAGGATAGAAGACTAAATTTGGGGGGTATCCTTATTTGGGGCTGTTTTGTTACACTTTGGGTACATTTGGGTGAAGCTGGGGGATAGATCATGAGGTGAGATTGATTTGGAGGTTCCTTTGATTTGGAGCACGTTTCTGAGTTGAGTATCTTTCGCTTAGAGCTCCCTCTCACCCCAGATTCTAGAAATGTCTTTAGTGAACCCCTAAATAAGCACATGATTTGAAGGGAGAAATTTGGAAAGGCCATGATGCCTCCTGATGGACTTAATACTATGTGGTCTGGATAGATCTGAGAGAGAAGAAGTGGTTTCAGACTCCAAACCCCACTTTATTTAGGGAAAACACTTAAGTTTGGGGGAAAATGGGGTGTCTTTTAGTAAAGTGGACACCCCTGAGCAGGGCAGTGCTGTTGGAACTGTGGCAAGGAATGGTGGCAGTGGGGGTGAAAGGAGGGGATTCCTGTACCCTGATTTTCTAAGATAACAGCCCCAAACAGAAAGCAGGCAGAGGACTGGAGTGTGGGTGAGCTGAGGGGGGAGGGGTTCCCAACGGCAGCAGGGGCTAGAGGGTGAGCCAGGCCAGCTCTTCCCGCCTGGGTCCCTGCTCTCTTCGGTTCTCCTCCCCTCTCTCCCTCCCACCGCCCACCCCCCCAACCCAAGGAAAAAAAAAAAAAACTGCCTGTGCAACAGCAATGGCAGATTCCAATCCTCCAGGCTTTCCTAAACCACCACCGAGACCAGCCAGGGGGGAGGGGAAGGGAGGATCGGGCTTTCCTGCTTCCTTAAGACAGGAGCAATGAGCTTGACCTCCTGGCCCCTAGCCCTTTGAGGAGTGCCCCCCCCTGGTCTGGAAGCCAGGTGTCCTGGACCCTAGCCCCCAAGCAGGGGGGGCCCTGGAGAGACGGGGAGGAGGAAGGAGGGAGTGACTTCCAAAATTGGCATCGGGACAGAGCAGGGCTGGCGGGAGGCAGGCGAAAGACGGAATTTTCCTGAAAAAACGGGGGTATCTAAGGACCCCAAATTTGGGGATCTAGTCCAGGACCGTCTTCCCAACATCCTAGATTTTTTTGGGATTTTTTGGGGGCCCCGGGACCCCTCTAGATGGGGTGAGGAATGTAGTGTTGGGGGAATCTGACTGGGGCATTGCAGCTGCCTCTCCCGCCGAGTTGGAGACGGATGGGCTGGGACGGGTTTTGGGGGGGTGTCCCCAATTTTGACTGGGAGTGGAGGAACCCCCTCCAGAACTCTCTTGTAGGGGTCCCCCCTCCCCAGGGCACTCCCCAGTCCCTGAGCCAGCTGAGAGGAAGGAGGCCAGCGATGCGACTGGGGCGGCTCCTTTCTCCTGCACCCCAAATGTAAGGGATGCACCCCAAAATTTGCTCCTTTCAAAATAGGGGACCAGGATCTCAGGGGAGAGTAGCTGAGGTAAGTGGGGAGGAAAGTGTCCCCTGTTTTCAGGAGAGACGTGGCGGGTTGGGGGGGAGGTTTGGAGGTGCGTGTTGGGGTGGGGTTGGGCTTTGTCAGTCTTGGAATTGGGGGGATGATTGGAGAGTCTTTCTCTTATACCCCTAAACTGCAGCCCCCCAGATGGAGACTGAAGTCTGAGAGCAGAATGCTTCCCAACATCCCCAACCTTTAGAATAGTGTTTGATTTCTCTTTCACCCCCACAAAGACTCTGCCGAGGGTGGGAGCTGGGGATAGCTACTGTTTTGGGGCTCTGGGGGAGCAATGAGGAGCAGGGGGCCTTAGCAGTGTTTAATGTAGGACAGATAGGGGTCTCGGGGAGGGAGTCTGGCAACATAAGGGGCCTAAAAAAKACTACTTACTTACACCATCTTAGATCTTTTTGATTGTTAAAGAGTTTTGGGGGTGTGTCGGAAGGGGGTTGGTAAAAGGTAGGATGGGATATGGCAGGATAACATTGGGTTTTACAGGGTACTATTTTGATTTGCAGAAGGGATTTTGGCCCTTGGATTTTGCTTTCTGGGAGGTACTTTAAAAAATTAAGTCCTGGACAGGAGGAAAAGGCTAAGGGAAGGCCTAGGGTTGGGGGTGGGGAGAGGCATGTTTGTCTCAGCTTAAACGTGGCTCTCTGGGGTGGGCCCGCCTGCCTGGGCCTGGTGGATAGGCTGGTGGGTGGTGTTGTGGGGGTGGGACATGGTCCTTGGAGGGCCATGGGGGACTGGGAACAGCACTGGGGGTTGAATATCTGGCCTTCAGATCCAGATAGCCCCCTTCCTGGGCCCTGCTTCTCCCCTTTCCCCCTGGCCTCCATTTCCTGCCTTTGGCCTCCATCTTGTGGCAGGCCCAGGGCCCAGGGCGACTTCCGGCCCCCCTCTCTCAACCATGTTCCGGCCCCACCACCTCTGGACTGCCAACTCCCAACCCTGCTGTCCTTGGCCCTCTGTCTCTCCTAGCGTTTCTCTTGGGTTCTGACCCAGGGAGGGGAGAAATGGACACAGGAAGCCTTGGGACTCTGCCCTTGCTGAGTCAGGAGGCAGTTTGTTGGTCACCCCCCAGTCATTCCCTATTTCCTCTGCCCTTGATCCCACCCTAGGGATCCACTGAATTGAGTTCCTTCAGAGGGAAGATGGTTCTAGTCTTATTACACTGTGAACTCATCCCCTAGGCCTCTCTCCTTCCAGTTGCCTGCTCAACTCCTGTCCCTGGTTCCTGGTTTTCCCCAACCTTTTGTGGGGCCATGTTTGCCTTTTATGCCTTCTCTGTTTCCCTGCTCTTGGGTGGGGGGGGGTCTTCATAGCACCATCTTGTGCTCTATTCCTCTCAACCCACCCGTCCTGCCCCCGCCCCAGCAGCACACTGTGGTTTGTACGGCACTGTGGCCACGTCCAAACCACACTGTGGTGTTAGAGCGAGGGTGGGGGAGGCACCGCTGAGGCCTGGCCCTGGAAGGCCACCCTGGAGAAGCGACACAAGTATCTGGGGCCTTGTGGCAAAGTTCTTGTGAGGTGGGGAAGAAAAGGGTATGAAAGCATTGGAACAGCTCCTTTAAAATCTCTAGGATAGTCTCAGGAATACTGACCGCCAGCAACCCTGGGAGTAAGTTCTGGATCCAGAGAGCAAAGTGGAGTCTTTGTTGCCCACACCCAGCTCCCCTGGCTCTAGCAGCACAGAAATATTGGCACTGGGAAGTGAGTCTGCCAATATTGGCTGTGCTGCTCCAGGCAGGGTGGTGAGAACTACTGAGGAGGGGCCGAGCCCCTGAGGGCTAAGGAGAAGTGAAGGAACAGCAGCTGCCAGCACCATGCTGAGAGAGAATCTTTATTTTCTGTATAAAACTGTCCATCAGATGTAAGTCAGGGGTTGAGGGCAGATGATTATCAGGGACAGCCAGGTGACAGTCCTAGCAGCCTTCCTTCCCTCTCTCATGCAGGCCTCGTTCTGAGTCCCAGGTGATCCACAGGTCCAGGGTGAATAGTGAGAAGGTCAGAGGTGGAAGGCTCAGCAGGAGAGTAGAGGAGCATCAGCAGAGGTTGTGAGAAGGCCAGAATCCAGGGTCAGGCTGTCTGGAACAGGAAGTAAAATGGACAGAGATGGAGCAAGTCCCAAGTAGTTTCCAAGACAACTCCCACCTCTCCAAATACCCTGCTTCTTTCTGACCCAGTCCCTGGCACTGTGAGAGCACCTTCCCTTCAAAGCCCCTGAACAAGGGAGATGCTCTTGCTGACACCCACCCCTGCCATCAGGTGAGCACTTCCCCCCAACCCCAGCCAGTGTGGGAGGAGGAAGACTCCTACCCTGGTCGAAGTTGAGTTTCTTGGCTGGAGGAGTTTCTCCTAGCCCTTCAATATCCACCAGGTCACTGTTGGCGTCGGAGTCATTCAGAGCACTGAGTGTCACATCTGGGAGGGGGCATAGGCTAGGTTCTAGGTTCCCTGACTTCTCCCCTCCCCAGTTTTCCAAAGCTTTGTGCTCTACCTCCCCCATTCTGGAAACCACCCTAGGGAGAGAAAGTGAGATCTCTCCTTTGACCCAGGCCCAATTCTCTCACTGAACCTCAGATGGGACCTTTAACCCGTACCCTAGACAGCAACAACTCCACAGCCCTCACCAGCCTTCTGTTTCTTTATGGGGGGTCCCCCGGACTCTGGGATACTGGAACTGCTGGGTGGAGGGGCAGCTGGAGGAGGCGACAGGACACCAGATGCCACCTTCTTGGGCCCTTTTTTGGGTGATTCAGCTGGAAGGGGGATGCCAGAATCTTCATATACCTTTCGTTTTACAGTGGCCTTTATCTGAGCCCTGAAGAGAAGAGACAGCAGATTAGGGAAGGGGTCAGCAAGCTGAGGGAAAAGGGGAGGGCAGGGGTAATGGGTCACTCTGAAGGAATTCTGGGAGCCCTACATAAGAATCCAGGTTAGGGCCCTAGGCCTTTGGTAGGGCTCTCATTTTTGTGAAGCTCTATACTCAATTAGGGAGATGGAGTGTGAAGAGTGGAGTCCCTGAACTGAGTAGCTGAAAGGCCCATTCCCTAATCCTCTTCTGGGAGAGATGTATGGATGTGTAGTGCCACCAGGTAAGGCTTGGTGATTTAAAGGTAGACTGAGACTTACTAGTAGATCTGGATCAACTATTTCAGAATCACAATACCCCTGGAAAAATGAGAATCTCAAAAGATCTATATAAATCACCAGGGATTCCCATTATGAAATACAATAATTGAGTAGCTCAGGCACCCTAAAATAAAATTCTTGGAAGGTTCTGACTACCATGGCATTTTAGGAACTTTTGACCAACTGCGACAATTCTTATATTCTTTCAGTCCTCAAGGGAATGCTAACAAAACTAGCAACACAGTAGGAAAGATGCTGAACTGGGAGTTCTAAGGAAGAATGAATAATGGGTAAGGAGGAAGAAAGCTGCCCACCCCCCTTTTTCTGCCAGCCACCCTCCCTCACACTGTCCGTTCCTTGATGACACAGCTGATGTGATTAAGATCGTCCCCAAATCGCTTCACAGCAGCCCTCAGCATCTCTATCTCCGTCTCCGTCCACTTCGCACTGTCGGAAGGGGAGAGGTGGGGTAGCAAAAACGGGAGCAGAAGGGAGTGGATCCAGCCCACGGGCTGTGCATTCCACAGCCAATCAGCCTTCTGCCCCCAATCTCTGGGCCCCCTTCCAAGGACTAAAAGGGGTCCTACTTAAAAACAACAAAAATAACCTCTGGGGACCCCTCCCCCCACGACATGAAACTGCATCCACCGCTAGAACACCTTTCTCCTTCATCAATGTGCAACTGCTGCAGATGGCCCACTGACACCAACTCAACAAGTAGGGGGTCTTACAACAGCACCCCTGAAAACCGTCTGCAGCAGTCTGATGGAATTTTATATGGTTTGGGGTGGGTGGTAGTGGTGGTGGTTTGGTCTGTCAATTCGCAGCAAGGGACAACTGAAATTATGAGTCAGGTGGTGGACCTGTCTGTATCTTCATCTGTCATTCATTCAACGATCATTTATTAACACCTACTCTGCGCTGTGCCAGGCACAAAGGGAAACTAACATTTGCCCCCGCTCTAGAGAGGATCTGTGTCTGTGACAGAGTCCAAGCGTCCGCGCCCGGCGTCCACGTCCCAGCCTGGGCTCACGTACCCCGCGGGGGAAGAGTCGGCCACGGGATGCAACTGCATCGTCAGCTCTCCAAGCTTCGTGAAGGCGGCGCCGGCCGCAGAGAAGATCTCTCCGACCTGGGGGCGGGGCAGTATTATKGGGGGCCGGCGCACAGTCCCGGCGCGGTCCCGCCCGGAGACCCTAGCCCCACCCTAGATCGCGCCCGCCCCCAGCCCCGCGCGAAAGAGCGGGAGCCAAGCAGGGGGCCCGCCCCTCCTGTGGCCGCCAGGGAGCGCTGTCCGCGAGGGAGGTCGAACCTTTGTGGACGCTGACGTCATGGCCCCGCGCACCTCCTCACGGAGACGCTCTGCCGCCGCCACCACGCGAGCTGGGACCACGGAGAGCCGGGCTACTTAGCCGCTCCGGCCCGGGAGCAGGAAGTCCCACCCTCTCCGTAGCTGATTGGCTCAAACCCTGCCGCTCTCCGCCCTACCAACCGCAGTCGCTTAGGCGGCCCGGGCGCTCGGGGGAAGGAGAGGTGGGAGACGTCGCCTCACTTCCGGCCGGCTTCACTACACTTCCTTGGAGTGGTCGGGTCTCTGCAGTTACAGGCCGACCTCCAGCCTTGGCCCGGCCCGCCCCGTCACTCAAGCACAGACGCGAAGCTTAAGAGAGCAGTTTCTCTTTATTGTGATATGGTCAAGCCGAGGGGCTGGACGCCAGAGCTTGGAGAACCGGGGCTGCAGACTCTCGCCAGGGGGACCCAGTTTTCCAGAGGATACCAGAACGGGTGGGAGGAGACCTGGGATAGGGAGTCTTTAAATAGAGGGAACTGGGGAGGGGAAATTGGACYGTCCTCTAGCGCACCATGTATTCCTTGCGCTTATTGAGCCGAACTTGGCAGAAAGAGAAGCCTCCGAGGAGGAGGTAGAGGCCCGCGGCGATGAAACAGTTGTAGCTGACTTGCTCGTAAAGGTTGTAAATTTTCTGAGGGCCATTCCTGAGGGAGGGGATTAAGCAGAGAAGTGTCAGTCATTAAGAAAATCCAACAGTTACCGGGCATTTAGTATGTGTCAGGCACCGTCCCAAGACCTTTTATATATATTATCTTATTCAGTCTTCTGGGTTAAAGGATTTATTCCATTATAATACCCCCTTTGCAAGATGAACCGAGGCACAGAAAGGTGAAGTAACTAAAGAAGCCGCACCTAAACTGGTGGGTTTTAGGAGAGACGCTGAAGCCTGATTTCCGAGACCACTCCTAAATACATCCCATTTTTCTTTTATGGTGCTAGGGTTTGAACCCAGCACCATAAAAGAAAGCGCGTAAAGTGGTATTCTACCACGGAGTTACAATCCCCATCAGGGTCCTAAACATCCAGCCTCCCGGCAATTTCCCGCTTACAATTCTGACCCTAGGTCCAGCCACTTTTCACCTGCACCCGGCTCCCCCCTACCCCAAACCACTTACTCAAAATCTTTCTCCGTGACGGGAACGTCCTCAATTAACACAGCGGAATGGACGTTGAAAAATATTCCAAGCATTATCTGAAAAAAAGGGAATATGTAAGTTGTTGAACTCAGGCAACTGTCTTGCTGGTCACTCCCTAAATCCCTTTCATTTCTAATGTTGACCCAACACCTGTGCCTGGGATTAACCAGAACGAGCTGGTAGTATGCGTGGCTGTAGCTGGATTCGACCTCAGCCACCTGCAACAGGGCGAGAAGTGGGGACACTGAGACGAAAGGCTAGGACAAGGGCGGGAATAATTAGCAACTCGACTCTCCCAGGAACCAGACTATACTTCCCAGAGGCGTCATTATCACGGGACTGGGCGGAAGAGGTGAGGGAGAACAGGCACTTCATATTATTTATGGAAGTCGCCGCGGATGAAGTCAAGGTGGGGGGAAGGCCTCAGTTACCTATTTCAGGAAGAGGCACTCCCTTTCCCCTCTTAGTCTCCATCCAACTCATGCATCTCTGAAGACCCCAGCTCTTCTTTTTCTTACCTTAATGGGTCCGCAAATTTACCAACCCTGCTCCCATTCCAGGCTCTAGTCCCAGCACCTTCTAGCTCTAATTCCCTATTTTCTAATCTCAATTCTGTCGCATTCTCCAGCAACCAGTTATCCCATCAGCCCCTCTAGCCTGCCTGCTGCCTTTTAAGACCTGGGGTTTCCTGGCCTTCCAGCCCTCCAACCCGGGGGCTCCGCGGGCCCGCTCCGACTTCCATCGGGATGTCCCCTCACCAACATGATCACTCCCCAGGCGCTGAGGACGATGCCGCAGGCGGCCAGCTTGGGCCCACAGCACAAGAGCGATGCCATGAAGAAGGGAACCAGGGATTGCTTGAGTGTGAGTCGAGTGGGAACCTGATGAGAAGCAACCCTGGACACTCCGGAGTCCAGAGAGCTGGATTTGGGAGCTAGAGCCCGGGACCGCGGAGGAGAGGGCGTGGCCTCAGGCCCCAACCATCATTCTGGGGGGCGGCAGCGGAGAAGATGGCGCCCTGGGGCCCTTCCGAAACTTCGGTGGGGGGAGGTGGTGTCTCAGACAGAAGCGGAGCATCCAGAGGCGCTTTGTAATCTGTGTGGCTAGGGTTTGAGTATACAAGAGCGAGGGTTTAGGGTTTCTTGGTCTCCCTCACATCCCCGCATCTGAATGGAAGTAGCTGACACATCACGTGATCAGACTGGCGGGTCACGTGACGAGGAACTAGCCGTAACCTTTCGTAAATGCCTAATTCTGGCAGGATCCTGGTAACTTGGGTAACCGGCTGTTAGGATGAGAAGCTAGGACTCCTCTCGTTTCCCCCTAAGACACTTTAGTCTGGGACGGTCTCTGTGATGCGGAAATAGTGAGACGTAGAGATTTCTTCCAGAGAGCGCGCGTGTCTATAGCTTTTGTACTCCCCTCTCCCTTTAAAAATGGTTGTTCTGACACAGTGAAAGGAGATAGGAGCCCTCCTGGAGGCCAAAACATGCTGTTGTGGCGAGAACGCTTTAAAATTGCTGAGAGTTCTTGGCATTAGAGATGGTTCTCTTAAACAACAAAGCTTGGGATACTGTATGGTTTTTATCATCTCTCTTGGAATACTGTATACTTTTGGATGTTGAAACCGGGAAAATCTGGGGTTAGAGAAAGTTCATGGAAAGCAGATTCGATGAGCAAGTTGTGAAGGTGAGTAATCCTGCTACAGGTATTGCTGAAAGTAAGTACACAAAAATGTCACTTTGCTGCCCTGTTTACTAGAGAAAGTGATTGTAGGCCCTTTGAGTAAAGTACTACAAGATTTAAAAATATGAGTAGATCGCCCTCTCCCAACTCCAGAATGTTTCTGTATTTCACTAGAGCGATGCAGATTTGTAATTATCATTCAGGAACATAGGGATGTTTGAAGAATGCTTATTTTTTGGGTGCCTGGGTCTGAACACATATTTTTGTTCAAAATTGTTCAAAAATGTGTTAAAATGTGACAAAGAACACATTTTTGCATTAAGTTTGTTGTATCCATTCTACACAGAGCACGGAATAATTGAGAGAGATAATTTTGATGCTGAGACTCCAGAACCAAAGAAACACTGTCATAGGCTAGAATAACTTTGTGGTATTTTCCCATTTATTTTGTGCATAGTATTATCAAAATTGTTGTGAAAGAGAACTTGGATCCTGGGAAACATAAAGAGATCACTGGGTATTAAAGGACCTAAAAAGTGGCCTTGAAATATGAGTTTTGTGTATTTTTTGTTTGGGACTGTCTGGAAAAGGAAGTCATTTGGGGGCAAAGATTTTTTATTCTGGGCTATTCAGGGAAGTTTGGGGTACATGTCTAAATAGCAGAGTCAGGGTGAAGGGAAAATTGCCAATGAACTGTCAGAAATCTGTGAGTTGGCCACCAAGCATGAAGTCTAGTTCCTGGAAAGGAGAATTAACAGAGGCAGTGAATTTCTTCTATCCCCAAGCATGCTCTTGGATGTTTTGGAAGAAAGGTCAGGGGCTTAGGCTAGTATACTGTATAAGGACCAAGTCCAGTCTGTGGTCTCTGCATGTCCCTCAAGCAAAGTCCTTTTTTTTTGGTATTTTTAAATAGTAAAAAAAACAACAACAACAAACTAATATTTTGTGATAATGGAAGTTCATACCTAAGTGTCCATAAATGAATTTTTATTGGAACATACTTAAAATAATATACTGACATATATCATCTGTGTCTGCTTTTGTGCTACAGTGGGAAAGCTGAGTAATTGTGGTGGGGACTCTGTGGCCTAAATATTGCCTGGCTCTTAAATTTAGTGCTCTCTGGGCTAGTGGTATACTGATAGAAGGTTTAGTTGAGGGAGGAATCAGAGCCTTAGCAACAGAGACTTAGGAAAACATTATATTCAAGATGGACATGTCAGTCTTAAAGCTGATGTGACATCTTTCAGGTGGGGGCACCTTAGGTCTCAGATAGTGACACTGTTCTCTATGCGGCTTGGCTTCAGGTATTCATAAGGCAGGTCAAGTTGCTCATTCCGAGCTGTAATCTCATTTTCCAGGTTTTCCAGATCTGTTTGGAATTGGCTTAACACAGCTTTAGCCTGGGGGTCTGAGAAATATTCTTCTTTGTGATGCCCCAGAGGTACCTAAGATGGAACAAAGGATTAGTTTCTAATCTGAAGACAGGAGCACCTAGAGCCCATTCTCTAACTCTGATTTTCCTTTCCAACTGTAGTTTTCCTCTCCCAAGGGTTCCCTTCTCACCATGTCTGGCTGGCGGCGTCCCAGATGCCATGAGATGGTCATTTGAAGACAGGACTTCCGGATATCAGGTAGTGACCCCATCACTGTGGCCAATGTCACATCTTCCTTGGTGGTAGGTGGGGGCATCCGCATTGTGCAAGGGGCGTTAGGGACCCAGGCATACCAGTCCAGCTGGGGGAAGAAACTGTAACCCTAGACCCCTGGCACTTAGGGCTTGAATCCCTCTCTCACCCTTCGATCTCCCAAGGTCCAGACACTTGCCTTCAGGGACCTGGGCTTTCAGCTATCCATACCTGGCCCTGGTTGATGGCCCCATGCTGGGCAGTGCATGTGAAGATACACATGGTAAGGAAATGGCAGAGTTGAGCCCGGGACTGGAGAGAGATAGGGAAACCTGGGCAGAAAAGGAACAGGATTTAGAGGCTTCAGTATAATAGGAAAGAAATAAAGGCTGATGYCTTAGTAGGTCTGTATTTTAGAATTGATAGGTGTTTGTTTATTTACTTAGGTATGTTTGTGTCAGACATGGATTTCTAGGAAGAGTTTGAGAAAGGCTATTTCTTTCTTGGAGATGAAAGTGTAGTGTATGTGTGTGTGTGCACGCACACACACACACACATGCATAGAGGAGTTGAGATAAACTAAGGTACTGTCTAGAGAGAGGACAAGATTGACCAATGAACCCGAGATCCAAAGATCAGGGAACTAACTTCAGGTTTAAGCCACAACATATATAGTATTGAGGTTACATCTGGAAATGACCTTGCACTTTGGCAAGTATGAAAATACCTGGCTCTTCTGCATGGTGGATAATAGCAGATAGGAAAAAGGAAGAGAGCCAGGTTGGGTTATTATAGGCTTTAGTGGTAAACTTTTCCTATTTATATCTTCAGGCAGTACCTGAATGGGGGTACCACAAAGATAACATGTGAGTCCTAAGCATGGACAGAACCCCTCACTGGCTCTGCCCTGGTTGGTTCCTAGGCTGTGGCAGGGCATCTATGACTGATGTGGGGACAGGAGTAGGGGTTGATGGCCAGGGTCTCTGAGGAGGATGGTCCATGGGTATCTAGAATTTCCCTGAGTCTTAAGATGTGTGACTGGAATTTGGGTACTTTTTTTGTGTGGAGGGAGGGATATGATACTGGGTTGGGGTTCTGTCTCAGCGGGACAGGGCTGGGAAAGGGCTCTTGCAGTATCTGAGGAGCTCCTGTCTTTGAGATGGATCTTACCTCTGTCCTGGGCCTGGCATAGCCCCACCTCTGTGATCTCTCGACACCAGGCCTGCAGCTCAGGATCCCCCCTCACAACATCATCCCTCTGGTAGAAGAGGTGGACGATCCCTTCCACATACCTGCCCAGAGAAGGGAGTTGAGCTCTCTCATGGCAGAGAGCTCCAGTCTCTGACCTCTATTCCTCTATGCTGTGGCCTCAGATCTACTGACTGTCCCTGTACCTGAACAGATCCTATCAGACTTACTTTGGGACATTCTCCAGGGTTTAGTTTAAAAAATGTTTTTTGAGGTGCTGGGGATGGAAGTAGGGCCTCAGACAGGCTTGGCAAGTGCTCTACCACTGAGCTATACCCACAGCCCTCCCCAGGTTTTTGACATACTAGCATTAAGGAAGGAGATGTAGTTTACTAGTTCTAGGTATCCTCTGTGTATGGCTACTATCTATTATTCCTAGTAAAACCCTGATTCTTCCAGATCCCTCAGTCTCTACACTCACAGCTCTCCTCACCTGTGTACTGCACCCCTATCTCTTCATTTTTAGACCTCACCATCTCCTCATTCTTCCTTTTCTCTCTCTCCCAGCTTTTGCCCCATGCTGACCTGAAACCAGAGCCCTACCCTCCCTCTCCCACCCATTTTTCAGCTCCTTCTACCCACCGGGCAATGATCTCCCAAAGCTGTAAAGCATCATGGGCATAGAGGGCGCTTGGGATTCCCAGCAGGCCCCGGTCAGCCAGGTCATCAGGAGGACAGAGGGAACAGTAGGTCAGCTGAGCCATTGCCCGTTGGAGCAACTGCACATGGCCCCCTCCACCTGTGTTTCCTGCCTGGAATAAGAATTGACAGGGCTTGAGGGATGGAAGCAGAACCAGAGAATGATAGTCTATTATGCAGGAAGTTCAAGATGGGGTTTATAAATTTAAAGACATGTATATAAAAGGACAGGACTTACAGGTTAAGGGGCAGGACATTCTCATATGTCATCTGGAATGCTGAAAATGGCAGAAGATTGCAGAGAGCTGGGTGATTAGGCAGCTCCGTACTGTATTCCTTCCTTACCTGATCAAATAGTCCTCCATCTGAAATGAGCTGGGTTCGGGCCCGGGTGTTGATTTCCAAAGTATAGCGGATATGGGGGACCAGGAGCTGGAGTGGAAGACGTTGGAGGGTAATTAATGGAAGCTATGTTTGGGTCCTTCATTGTAGGGCCTGGCACCCATCATGGTGGTCTGCTCCCTTATTGATGCTTTCATCCCTCTTGCTTCCTTGGTCTGTTTCTCTGATCAGTCTCATGTTCTTTAACTTCCTTGTGAGTTAGGCTCTGGAGCCACTTTGCCTTTGATACTAGGCCAAGTTTATAACCTCTCATCTGCAATCTCCTCCTCTGTCAGTAGGGGGCAATAATAGGATCTCTTATCTCAGGGAGCTTTGGTGAYGTCTGTGATTATGTGAGTGATGTGTGAAGAGTTGATAGAACATCCAGAAATTCTCCAATAATAACTGTTATCATTCTCTTTATTATTCCTACCTTGATTATAGGTGTTCCTTATGAATCAGATCCTTTTGACTTTCTTTTATATTCTACAAACCACATCCTCATACCTTAAACTAGCCTCTCTACATCTCTTTGTCTTGTCACTGTTTGTTTTGTTTGTGGGCAGTTTGAGCAAGTAGTTTCAGTCAGAATTAGAGGGGCTACATTAATCTACCTGCTTAAAGGAGCAGAGGGGCTGCTGTCAAATCTGTCCCCACTGCCACCTGGACACTGTTCAGCTACCTCTTTCCTGCTTTTCCTTGCCTATTAAAATAGGCTACCTGAGGTTCTGGGATTGTAGCTCAGTGGTAGAATGCTTGCCTAGCATGTGTGAGTCACTGGGTTAGATCTGAGGATCAGACCACATAAAAATAAATAAATAAAATAAAAGCATTATGTCTATCTACAATTAAAAAAAAAAAAAGGCTACCTGAACCTGGGGCCTACCTTTAACCTCAGCAACTTGGAAGGCTTGAGAAGCATTACAAATTTGAGGTCAGTCTTAGCAACTTAGTGAGACTCTATCTCAAAATAAAAAATTAAAAAGGCTGCAGATGTAGCTCAGTGGTAACCCTGCCTCCCACAAAAAAGTACTTGATCCTCACACATGTTTCTTTGTACCTTAGACTTATTTGTCTTCCTTTCTACCCAATTAATTTGCAGGTTTCATCCAGTTTTGGTATTTATCTGAATTGTTGATGCTGGACGCAGGAGAAACCCAAGTGATCATTATGTTATTAAGGTATCAAAGCACCTTACATTAGTATGAAACTTTTCAAAAAGTTCATAAAAGATGCTGAATGTCATGGAAGGCCCAAAGTCCACATGAGGAGAGAAGATGCCTGAGAACAAACAACTCCTAATAATAATAAATGTAAGAACTAATTTTTTTTGTAGCATGTAGTACATGTTACATTATTGTTTTATGCCATTTTATCCTTTAACAACACCATGAGGGACATCCTGTTATTCTCATTTAAATATGTAGACATTGGTAAGTACTGAAGCCAGGATTCAGGATTGAGACCCTAGCCATCAAAAGGAGGCCATTTTGGCTTCACCCTCCTATGTACCCTGTAACAACTCAGCTATTTGCCATGGGAAGAAATTGTTAATGGTGAGTGATGACAATGTAGGACTGAGCTAGAGAGGAGAATTATAAGTCTAAATTGAGGTTTCACTTAATAATATTGAGCAGAAGATGATGATGCAGGAGGCATCATGAGACAAATAAATTCCAAGATCCTTTTAAACATACTGGTCTCCATCTTGTCTATGTTCCAAAGAGATGACCTTCAGGGGTCACAGCTATATTGGCCAAGGTTGGGAGGTCCAGATGGATGTCTTCAGCTGAAACAGTTCAGTTGTTCTCCATACAAGTGCTTACTTGCATATCTTGCCAATACTTCAAACTCCTTGTTGCTTAAATCAAATATCTAATTTTACCCCCAAACTAGCTTCTTTCAACTTTTCTATTACTCTGGTTCAAAGTTTCTGTCATTTTGTGCCCTTCTCTGCCATGTTCCTTATCTGAAAGTGTCATTGAGATTTTGAGAACATTTTTAAGCAAGCATAAGTCTTACTTAGCTGTCTTCTGCCTAGCAGTAAACACTACACTGTTTCATAAAATTATAGTATTTCTAGGTCAGTACAACACATGGCACAAACTATGGGCTCTACATGTCACAGAAGCTTGGACTTTTGATTTTTCTCTTTCCAGTCTTGCACCCAGACATGCTACAACTTTCTGTTTCCTTTATTTACCATGTTGTTGATTTTTCATTTTTACTCCTGTGTAACAAAGCCACTAGTGCACATCTTTACCTGCTTTATTCTTGGGCTTATCTCCTTGTATTCTGATCTTTTGCTACTTAGCTGACTACTCTCTTGGGGTGGAACATTCTCCATCAGTTTATAGGTTGTCTCTTGTGATTTCAAACTTTAATTCCAGAAATTGTTCTTGGTTGGTTCTTGGGGGCTTCTTCCTGGCAAAATATTAAGTCTCCTAAGGTAGGAATAAAGCCTTTGTATTACTCCAAGGTATAAATAAGACTTTTATTTTACTAATGATATTCCATCTATACTGCAAGCTGATTCCTAGGCTGTTAGATCTTTGACAATTTCAGAGGGCTCCCTTATAACGTGTCTGAAGGAGTTAGGATAAGAGTAGAGCCTGTACCTTGAAAACAGGGTGCAGTCCTGGGAGGCACCTCATAGTAGCAACAGTGATGACCTCAGCCACCAAATGAGTGTTCAGCAAATGATACTGGAGCTGGTGCAGTTGGAAATCTGAATTTCGGACCCAGGACTTGGCCAGGAGCCAGGCAAGTGGAGGATCTGATGGCAGGAACAATGTTGGGGTTGGGAAGCTGGGATTGGGAGGTTGAATCTGGGAGAAAGAAAAATCGAGTATTTATTGAACTATCAACTTTTGTATGACACGATCAGCATTTCTGAGGAAACAGGTGACTAAGCAAGACTGTTGCCTTCTAGAGGGTTATAATGTAGTAGGAGGAATAAGAATCCTTCCTCTCCTCACTGGCTATGATTTTGTGGTCTTGTTGAATGCAGGAGAAACTGGAAGCAGGGAGTCCAGTAAGGAGGTTCTAGCAGTCTTTTAGGAGAAATAGGATGGGTGTCAGAGCTCAGGTGGCAGAGAGGGAAGCAGAAGTTAGATGCGTACAATTATTGACAATGATAATAATTAACTGATTGTTTGATGGGAATAGTGAGAAAAAGGGCTATCCAAGAGAACAGATATTCAGAATTAGAGGATGCTTAGAGATTAAATAATAGTTCAAAAAGTGTGCTCTGAGATGCAGAATCAGCATTACTTTGGAACTTGTAAGGAATGAATATTCTCTGTGCCCACCCCCAGACACTAAATCAGAAAGTCTAGTGGTGGCATTGAAGACCCTGTGTTTTAACAAATACTTGAGGTGATTCGGAAGCATACTAATGTTTGACACCTGCTAGGTATAGGATGAGGATTCGAAGAGGCCATTATGATTCTTGAATAAGTATTTCCATTAGGTGCATTGGGAAGACCAGGCTGTGAGCTGTGACATGAAGATAGGTCTTGGTGTGGATGGGATTTAAGAGGCCAAAGTTAAGGGATTGGGTCCTTAGGAGCAAAGGTTGATGTGAACAGAGAAGTGGGAATGAGATGCTCTGGGGGCCTCACCTGGATGACCATGGGTAACAGCTTCCCATTGGGTTCCATCTTCAGCATGACAAGGGGGGCAGCCAGATACTGCTTCTCTCCTTGGATCACATTGGCTGGAATTCCATCCAGCAGGATAAAGTCAGCCTCAAATAGGGAACCATTCTGGAGAAAGGAGGAATGTATCCATTGCAGAGTTCAAAATCTATTCATAAAGAGAATCAATCTGACAAAAGAAGTAAAAGACCTCTACAATGAAAACTATAGAACACTAAAGAAAGAAATTGAAGAAGACCTTAGAAGATGGAAAGATCTCCCATGTCCTTGGATAAGCAGAATTAATATTGTCAAAATGACCATACTGCCAAAAATGCTATACAGATTTAACGCAATTCCTATTAAAATTCCAGTGACATTCTTCATAGAATAGAAAAAGCAATCATGAAATTCACTTGGAAAAATCAGAGGCTCCAAATAGCCAAAGCAATCCTTAGTGAGAAAAGCAAAGCAGAAGGCATCACAATATCAGACCTTAAGTTATACTACAGAGCTATAGTAACAAAAATGGCATGGTATGGGCACCAAAACAGACATGAAAACCAATGGAACAGAATAGGAGACACAGATACAAACCCACATAAATAAAGTTATCTCATACTAGACAAAGGCACCATCAACATACATTGGAGAAAAGACAACCTATTCAACAAATGGTGCCGGGAAAGCTGGAAATCCATATGTAGTAGAATGAAATTTAACCCGTCTCTCACCCTGCACAAAACTCAAAAGAGGATCAAGGACCTAGGCTTTAGACCAGAGACTCTGAACCTCCTAGAAGAAAGTGTAGGCCCAACTCTTCATCATGTCAGCTCAAGAACCAACTCCCTCAACAAAACTCCTAAAGTGCAAGAAGTAAGATCTAGAATAACTAAATGGGATGGTATCAAACTAAAAAGCTTCACAGCAAAAGAAATAAACAAGAATGTGAAGAGAGAGCCAACATAATGGGAGAAAATCATTGCTACTTGCACCTCAGATAAAGCATTAATCTCCAGGATATACAAAGAACTCAAAAAACTTAACACCAAAACAGACAAACAAACAACCCAATCAATAAATGAGCAAAGAAACTGAACAGGCACTTCACAGAAGAAGAAATATGAATGGTCAACAAATTTATGAAAAAATGTTCAACATCACTAGCAATTAGAAAAATACCAATTAAAACTACAGTGTGATTCCATCTCACTACAGTCATAATGGAAATTATCAAGAATRTAACAGTAAATGCTGGTGAGGATGTGGGGACAAAGGAACACAAATTGGATCAACCATTCTGGAAAGCAGTATAGAGATTCCTCAGAAAACTTGGAATGGAGCCACCATTTGACCCAGTTATCCCATTCCTTGGTTTGTAACCAAAGGATGTAAAATCGGTATACTGCAGTGACACAGTCACATCAATGTTTATAGTGCTCAATTCACAATAGCTAAGCTATGGAACAAACATAGGTGCCCTTCAACAGGTGAGTGGAAAAAGAAAATGTGGTGTATATATACATAGTGGAATATTACTCAGCCATAAAAAGAATGATGTTATGACTTTTGCCTTTAAATGGATGGGTCCGGAGACTATCATGCTAAGTGAAATAAGCCAGGCTGAATGTTCTCTCTGATATATGAATGTTAATACACAATAAGTGAGGTAGGGAAGAATAGAAGTTCAGTGGATTAGACAAGGGGGGATGAAGGGAAGGAAGGAGGATGGAAATAGGAAAAACAGCAGACTGAATAGGACATAACTTTCGTATGTTCACATATGAAACATGTTACCACCAGTGAAAAGAGATACTAATTAGAATAAGTTATATTCCATATATGTATAACATCAAAATACACTGTACTATCATGTATGTCTAAAAAGAACAAATAAAAAAATTATATCCCTAAAGGGTCAGGGCAAAGGGCAAAATATTTGAAGACATTCAGTCCAGCTTAGCATCCTGCATCAGTCCCAGAGCCCTATTGGTAGAGCCCTACTGGTCCAATTCCTCTCATTTTAAAGTGAAGAAACAGCCTAGTGAGGGTAGATGTCTTGTGCAGGGATATGTAGTAGCAGATCTGGGTTCAGAACTAGGCCCATTTAATCCAGTGGCATAGGTGTTATCAACTGATCCCTTGTCCAGGTGGCCAGACCCCTACTCTGTCATCCCCTCATGGTCTGTTCTCTGCTTTTGGCTCCCATCAGCTCAGCCATCCCTCTTCCACTCCCTATATAAATCTTACCTCCTCTGCCAAATATTCCACAGAGCTTCCCCCTGGCTCCCACTACCACTAAATACAGCACACAGGCACACATTTACACAAGTTTTCTGCCTGGACTTGGCCTCCTCATGTTCAGTTCATCTGTCCCAAATTCATCTCCTCCCTCACTCCCCAGAAAACCTTCCTGAATTTCTCCATCTGTTGGCACAGGCTTTTTCTTTTTCTTTTTTCTTTTTTTTTTTTTTTGTGTCCATGAATACTGGAGTCCAGGACACTGACATCAGCCAGGAATGTCATAGTTCCTCCTAATATCTTTGGCCCCCATCTGTGCCCTGAGGTGCCTCCTATTTCTCTGTTTATCCTGGGAGTTCTTAAAAGCCCCCCCCCCAATACTTGGTCATTTCTAGACTTTTTTTTTTCCAACCCCTGAGTCTGTACCAAGAGGCAGCCTCCTTTCCCGTGACTTATCTTTGGCTTCTCATCTTCACCAGTTCTTCCCGCCACACTGCTAAGGAGAGAACAATGCCGAGTGTATGTGTTTGTGTGTGGGGGTACCTGGAGTTCTTTCTCCAACTGGGCCTGAAGTTCCTCTGTTCCTGAGGGTAGCACCAGCCTGGATGGCAGAGAGGTGGAGCGTCTCAATAGCATGGGGTTGGCGCCATTGAGGAACTGGTAGCCAAAAATGTCATCCTCCTGCCAGGAATGGTGGATCTTCTCTGTGGGGTGGGAGAGGGGTAGAGGAGGGAGATTACTACTTGGACATCCTTCTCCTTAAGGCCTCAGGGATTCAGACTATCCTGAGTCCCTTTCTTTTCATTCTTGAGGCCTCTGTGAGATCAGAACAGGAACAACATGTTTTTACTTGGCAAGGAGTTGTGGGGGACCTTGAAATACGATGGACGGGCCATCAAAAGGGACCATCAGAGGGTTTAGAGATCTGGGGGAGTCACTGACCAGTCAGGGCACTCTTCTGGCCCCAGAAGATCAGATCAAAGTCTTCCAGGCGGTTCCAGCCTCTCAGGAGGGTGTAAACACGTTTGAGGACCATCTCCAGAGCCCTAGAACATATTTTGGGGCATGAACCCATTGGCTCACCCCTCAGGCCCTCACCATATACCACCATTCTTGGATCTCCCAACTCTGATGCCACTCCGAGCTCCATCCAGCCTTTTTCTCACCCTGCCTTCAGTGCCCATTCGAAGTCTAGCCTCTTCTCCTCATGGAATCTCACATTTGGGTGTAGGTCATCCAAACAATTTGCAGCTATTGTCAGGGGTATCCCTTCCTTCCAGGTGGCCCAGCTAGAAGTTGGGACAAAGCTTCAGGGAGGGTGTTGAGGTCAGTGATAAGGGCAGGGGCAGGGAAAATGTGGGACAGTTGGGAGGGCTGTGGGTAGGTGATCACCAGTAGATCTGTTGTCTTTCCTTCAGTTCCTTCTCCCGATGCTTCTGGAAGACGTCCAAGCCATTGTCTCCTGCCAGGCGGGCTGGGGAGACATTAAGAAGATTGGCCATGTAGCTTTGGTTCTGTGCTCTCCTCTGCTGGTCCTTGACTTTCTTTTTATCACCAGATTCCATGTTTTCAGTCCTGTTCTTTTGCTTTTATCTCTGACTTTCCCTCTCTTGATTGATTCCCTCTCCACATTTATCCCACTGTTAACCAGTCCTGTATTCCCAATTTAACTTATTTCAGCCCTCATTTTTTGCCTGAAGACAAAAATCTCATGTTTGCCACATTTTATTTTCCCTTAACTCATCTTCTCCTATTTCATTAAGTGAAATTAAGTGACCCTATTTCACTTAATTGAGGTGATAAAATCTTAGTCACCTATATGTCCATACCTATCTGCTGTAAATATTGGCCTGGCTTATTTCACATGTCTTATACCCAAAGTGCCACACCTTTACCTGTCCCTCAAAGATTGTTTGCTTTAATGATCTGATTTTATTTTTCTCGGACTTATGATTGTAGATTTTATTTATCGACTTTTTCTCCTGCTCTTACCTGTACTTAGACTCACTTGTCTCAAGTCATATGTGTCATTTTTCCATCCTTAACCACCTGGTCATCATTTGTCTCTATTCATCTCTTACTAGTTTCCCATAGTAAAAATTCAACATTTGCTGTCCTTATTTATTCCCACCTCACACCAAGTGCTCCTTGTTTTTTACAGTTGTCTTCCATTTTATTTAACCCAAACCAACTCTCTTAACATCATATAATTTGTTTCCATAGCTGTCTTCTGCTCACAGGTCACCTCCATCTCCATTCCACGGGCCCCTCACCTGTCCCTACCCTAACTTGTTCTGAGTTAAAGAGAGATCTTCATACTTTGTTTCTCTGTTTTCCTTTATCTTTGCATCTCCTACTCCCTGTCCTCACTTTGAAGAGGGAATCTCCAGATCACTTACCCCCTCTCCAGTCTAACTTGGAGCATCATATATTTTGAGTAAAACTCAGAGACTTCATAACTTCTTGCTGTCTTGCGTCCTGGAATCCCTACACTTCATGTGTGTTTCCATCTATCCTTTCTCTAAGCCCCGCCGACCTTCCTCAATCCCGTTCTGCCCCGCTGCTCCCAGCACTTTCTGGAGGAGTCCTTGTGCCTATTTTCCCCACGCTGCCCTCTCACCTGTGCCCTCGGGCAGGCTCAGGACGCCCTGGCCTTGCACCCAGCGGTAGCACGGGAATGCGATCTCCGYRGAGGTTCCCGGACCCTGCACAGTGATGCGATCGCAGAACCATGCGTCGTCCACCAGTGAGTGCTGTTTGCGCAGCTTCACGAATTGCAATGTGCCTAGGTCCTCCGGACTATCCAGTACAAACTCCTCTTTCTGTGGGAGGTAGACCTGCCAGACTTAGCCGAAGGGACCCAGAGAAGCCGCTCTGAGGGCGGAGCCGGCCCTTTGTGGAACCTCAGTTTATCAGGGCCTCAGAAGACAGCCTCCCTCCCTTCCCCATTTGACCTGCCCCACACTCCGTGCTCCTCGGGAGGGCAGAAGCCCGCAGTGCGCTGCCCTCTGAGACTTGAATTGATGATGGAGCATCATCATCTTTTAGTTCACCCCAATCCCTAAGCTGTCACCGAGACGGTACCTGGAGGAGCTTCACAGTCGACCACAGATTGTATGGCTACACTGACCCTGGGGCCATTTGGAGAAGGAGTTGGTGGCTGCCAGGACCAGGGTCTGGGTGAGGGAGAAGCCCAGATGGAGCCTATGGCTCCCAACCCTGTTCCTGACTTCGCTCCGGGAGTTCTAACTGTAGAACTCCCAGCCAGCGCCGTTGCGCTGTCACTGGCCCCCAGTCTCCTGCCGCTTTCCTGTGTCTGGTACCCTGCCGGGCTAGGGGCCCGGGGCCCCTCTCTCACAGGCTGACCTCTCCTCGCACGGGCCGCAGCTGTAGCTCCAGCTCTGCTTCTCCGCGCTCCCCGACTAGCCACAGGCGCACGCAGTTGTGTGATCCGGAGAAGAGCCAGGCTCCGGTGGCCACGCGGATGCGGTAACAGTGGCCCATGGCGACCCCAGGAGCTCAGGCGAGGGGAGCTCAGGCGAGGGGAGCTGAGGCGAGGAGAGCCGGGTCCTGAGCGATTCCAGGGACCTCCCAGGGCCGCCGGCGCCTCAGGGCCAGCTCCAGATCTTTAAAGATGGGTCTGCGTCCCCGCCCTCCGAAGTCCCCGCCCCAGACTAGCCTGAACCTGCGATTCAAGCCACACGGCAGGATGTGGGGAAGGGCTGTGCCTTTGGGTCGGGTCAGAGTGTAGCTGCTGGAGGAGAAAGGGACCCTGGCCAGGGTGAGGATGAAAGAATGGGTTCAGTGGGCCTCTCTGGACCTCCTGGGGGAGACCTGAGGGCAAGAGCCTTCAGGTTGAACAAGGATGAGGACATTTCCCAGGGACCCGGAGGTCTTTGGGGGTAACTAGGAGAAAGAGGGGGTGAGTCTATCCTCCAGGCCGAGGGAAAGTCCAGGCTGTTCTGGTCCAGGACCTGAGGAAAGTTTCTGGAAGGCTAGCCTGGGAGGCTGTACTGGTGTCCCCTGGGGATGCTCTGTTGTCAGACCCCTGTGGTCCAGTAAGTCCTCCCATCCCTCATCATTACTGCTTTTGAGTCCTGTCCTTCAATAAGTGACCAGGGCTTCTCAAGAGTCTGGAAGACTAACAGCTCAAGACTCCATACACACTTGTCTCCCTCTGACTCCTCCCTCCAACCTCCCCTTTGCTCAGATGAGTGCAGCTCCTTCACCCTCAGTAGGTTCCAGGTTAATTTTTATTCCCAAATTCTCTTCTGGCCTTTCAGGGTCTCAGGGTAGGAAAATCAGGAACAGCAGATGGTCTGCGGCTGGTTGTCATCTTTGTAAACAGTGAAAGGATGATGCAGGGCTCAGGCTGGTCACCCATCCAGGAATCAATCAGATGTAGTCCCCTGCACATGTCCCTATCTAGATCTTCCTGAACCATTTGACTCACAGCAGATGGATGTGTCCTGGTGGCTTGGGCTCTCTTGAGGCACACCAAAAAGATGTGCTGGTTATTGGTGGGAATAAATCATGGGGGGGTCTAGTCCCACCTTCCAACTTCCAAAGCTTATACCAGCATTGCGTCCTTCCTGAATACCATTTCCCACCTTTTAGGGCCCATTCCTACCAAATGCTTTGTGCTTGGAACAGAGCCATTGAACACCTCCCCCACCCCAGTTTTCTGGGGCTACCCTATTCTGTAATATCCCAATAAAATGGCTCAAATTCTCATTGTTCACGATAGCAGGATCTGGCCTTTTCCACACATATTTTTATGGTTTACTTTTTCTTTCTAGAAAAGAATTTAAAATATATTTATTTCCAAAGTGAGTCCATACTTCAGCCTGTTTCTCTGCTGTTTTGTGACTCTTTCTGCCTACCCCAGGATACTGTGAGGGAATTTACAATGGAGGAAAATAATCTAAACTGTGCATAAGCTAAATGAGTTAATATGTTCAAACTTTTAGAACAAGGCCTGGCACAGAGTCCTCTGTGTATTAGTTTATTATTTTCAGTGGAATGTCAGCATCACTCCTCCTAGAAATTCCTTTGCCATTCATCACCACATACTGTTTCCCCATGGCCCTGTACAGGCCCCAGCCTCCCACTAGGGTTCTTGACCCCTCAAGACTCCTTCACCACTATTATTTTCTTTTTTAAGCACACGYACAATGTTGGGAGAATATATTAAAATTTATTTTTTCTATACCAGGGGATTTGAGCCCAGGGCCTCACACGTGCTAGGCAGACTCTCTACTATTGAACAGTCTAGGGATGATTTATTTAAAAAAAAAAATCCTAATCTTGAAAACTTCTTCACGCAGGTATCAACAACAGCAGCAACAAAACTGTTATTTTTTTTTTTAAAGAAATGAACTATTTATTTATTTATTTTTTAAAGAGAGAGTGAGAGAGGAAGGGAATTTTTAATATTTATTTTTTAGTTCTCGGCGGACACAACATCTTTGTTGGTATGTGGTGCTGAGGATCGAACCCGGGCCGGACGAATGCCAGGCGAGTGCGCTATCGCGTGAGCCACATCCCCAGCCCAAAAAACGGTTATTTTTGAATAAGCCTTAAATCAGCATGTGAATCACTTCAAAAGCAATTGCTAAGAGATTGTGAAGCCATGAAGAAAGCTAAACAGATAGAACTCATTACCTACATGTGCTTAAGATAAATTATAATTAATTCTCAAGTAAAATGACTTTATAGTACCATTTTTCACACAAAGTGTATCCTAGACTCACTGGTAATTGGAGTGGCCACCTGTGTTCACTTAATTGACTTAATAGGAGGACAAACTTCTCTTACCTTTATTTTATTTTATTTTTCTGGTGGGGGCAGGGTACCAGGGATTGAACTCAGGGGCACTCAATCACTGAGCCACATCCCCAGCCTAATTTTTGTGTTTTATTAGAGGCAGGGACTCACTGAGTTACTTAGTGCCTCACTGTTGCTGAGGCTGGCTTTGAACTCGTGATCCTCCTGTCTCAGCCTCCCAAAGCTGCTGTCTTACCTTTATGATAGGAGATAGTTTTGCAACTTAAACAAAGTGTTTGTCTAAGTTGGGCTCCATTCTCCAATAGAAACTGGGAGATGGAGGCTCTACTTCCTTTGTTGTGTGTGTTTCAAAGAGGCTGCTCCCAGCTCCTTGCTTGAGAAAGACATTCCTATGTAATAAAGCTTACAAAAGGTTTATGTATCTTTAAAACAGATTTACACACATTTCACAGAGACAGAAATGAATATGGAGACTTCCTAAAGCAAATTCTTTCATGAAAAGAAAGAGGGGTGGGGAGAAGATTCTCCCTTATTTTTGACAGAGAGAATGAAGCCTCTTGTTTTTAAAATTTTAAAATTTTGTTCCTAAATATGCCACAAGAAGAAATGAGGCCTTTATTTTGTCTTGGCCCTTTGCATAGGGAAGTCCACACTGGCACAGGTGCAACCAAAGTTAACCTCTCTTTGTCCAGACTTCTATTGCCCTGCTCTCTGCCAGTAGYTCATTCCCACATTCCCATTACTTCTCTGCACAGAACAATTTAACTTCTTGATCAAAGCATCTCTCACTAGATTATGCCCCAGGGGGTAGACCTTAGATTTCATAGCCAAAAAGACTTATTAAAACATTTTCTAAATGTAAGAATAATTTTATCCTTTCCTTTTCTCCTGCTGCCAATATGGCTCAAAATGCAGTCAATTTGGATGATAGTTCTATTGTCTTTCTATTATTGTTCGGAGCCCATGTATGGCATGGGGCTATATAAATTCATATTTGGTCCCTGAGGCCCTTACACATAAACATGGCATTATAAACCATGTAATTTTAAACTGTATAATCACAGAATATGATTTCGGGGCAGACACTGTTTCATGTATTTCCAATTAGTAATTTGGGCACCCTACATCCCTGTTTGCAGGAGACCCAGCACTTCCTTCCTTGAATGCTGTCACTCCTTTCTGAGGCTGTACTATGATTAGCTGGAGAACCCTTATTCTATGCAACTTAGTGGGCCATTTTTTTAGTGCTGCATGGAGGCCTTGCACAGGCCACAACAGTGACACAGACTTGGTTTCCACACTCTTTACACATCCACACATGATTGTGGTGCTAGGGGCCTGTGCCAGGGCTGTGCCTGGGCTGTGTCTAGCCTTGCCTCCTGAACTTTAGGCTTGGAATTGAGCCTGGTCATTAGACCAGACCACTTTCCTCACAGAGGGTTCCCTTTTGGGATCCAGGTTTTGTGTGTGTGTGTGTGTGTGTGTGTGTGTGTCCTTCTGGTAGACATCTAAGGAAATCTTAATCTTTCAGAGAGGACTTAATACTGAACAATGTCAAAAAGAATCAGGGTCCCAATCACTTTTCTTTCATGTAGTGTCTTGAACCATTCAATCAAATTTGCTCTCTCTTCCACCTCTGCCAACTCTGGGCACCTAGGGACTACTGGAGTGAGGAATGGGGATGGACAGGGTGGGAGTGGAAGGGGAACCTTGATGGGCCAAAAAACTGGTGTCCAAGTGGGGACACTCAGGCTCAGAGAAGTTTGCCCTCAGAGAGCTGTCTAATTCAGAGAGATGGAGAGAGAGGTAGAGTTAGATATTTACATAGATGATAGAGATAGATAGATAGATAGATAGATAGATAGATAGAAAAGCTGTAAGATTATTTTTTTTCTTTATCCTTTGCTGCCTGTTCCCCTTTCCCCTCCTACTCTGCTACCTCAACACCAGCAGGTATTCCCAGGTCAAGCCCAAGTTTCTATGGATTCATAGAATCATCTTCAAACATGAATACAACTTATAGAAATGGTTGGTTTGGGTTATTTAAAAAAAAATCCCAGAAGCTTGTGAGGCTGAGGCAGGAGGATTGCAAGTTCTAGGCCAGCTTCAGCAACCTAACAAGACTCTAAGCAACTTAGCAAGACCCTGTTTCAAAAAAAAAGGGCTGGGGATGTGTCTCAGTACTAAGATCGCCTATGGGTTCAATATGCAGCATGCACACATACACACAAATTTGTACCATACTGTATACATTTTTCTGGATCTTGCTTTTCTTACTTAAAAGATATATCTATGGATATTTCTGAAGCTCAATAGTTACACATCTTACTTTTTAATTTTTAATTTTTAGATGGACATAATATCTTTATTTTACATTTATGTGGTGCCGAAGATTGAACCCAGTGCCTCATGCATGCTAGGCAAGCATTCTATGACTGAACCACAACCCCAGTCCCCAATCTGACTTCTTTTAAGAMGATGAATGGTATTCCATTATATGACTGCTTTACAGTGTATTCAACTTTGCCTCTGATCCTGAGCATTCAGTTTCCATTTATTTTTACATATACTGAACACTACAAAGAGCTTGTGTGTGCCTATATCCTTATRTACTGGTGGTTTTATTTCTATAGGTTAGAGTCCAAGGAAAGGGTGGAAAGAAATAAAGTAAAAAATTTTTGAAAAATATAAACAAACAGCAAAGTGGAGTTGGTTTATGTATCAGGCATAGGAATATACCCAGAGAA